ATGAATTACAAGTAAGAAGCTTCATCTCCTAGCCTATGGATAAAATAGGATTGGAGAACTTCCAGGGGGCCATATTTGGCAGTACAATGTAAGGACAACTAGAAGACAGGTTGGCATTTCCTCTTATCACGCAGAGCAATGAGGAAGCATTCCCTGTTAATGGGAAGTCTGCAACCCACTTCTATACACCTAAAGAGGAAAGATAAGTCCTCCTTTCCCCCTCAACCCCCAAATTTAAATCATTGTCTGGAAAATTAGACAGGAACAAAAGAAGCATATTCTTAGTAGGGTTCTCCATTTAGGGAGTCACTTGTATATACTGCTTTGCTATTAACAGGGCAGCCATTCAATTGCCTGTTTTCATACACAGCCAATCTTGCCCCAACTTGCAGCTTCTCATATCACCATCATGCCTTAACAACTGTAATCATGTTCCTTGATTGTACAACATAGTCCTCCCTTAAAAGAAGAGGTGATATTTTGGCTACAAATTAGCACTATTAACAGATCTGTGTTACTTTAGATTGGGGAAGGAGAAGGGGTTATTTGCACAATTGTGTTTCCATAATGTGCTTAAACTGGTATCTTTAGCTGCTTTTCTTCATTGCACTATCCTGGAAATAATGAAAAGCATCAAATCAGGCTGCTGCGAATTGTTTGCCACTTTTGGTAAATTTCTATCCATCACTCCTCCTCCCCACAAAGCAGTACAATGGAAGAGAAGTTGTCCTAGCTGGGTACACAGTCATGGCAGAATCTGAACATCTTCTCCAGGACTGTGACTTCCTATCTGCTTCATTATTTCCTATTACTTTAAACGTCCAAATGAGGAGAAGCAGGCAAAGACAAGCGAAGTTCTGAAGACCCAACCTATTTCTGCCATAGTGCTGTAAATACTGGAAGCTTTCCCTGCTGACTGGCAATGTGCTGACGGAAAAGGACAACAAAGCCAGAAGAGAAACCCAATTACTTTGCTTCAAGCAAGTAGGATACTTGCCAGCTAGGGTAGCATCAATTGGCAATTGCTTTGAACAGATACAACAAAGGCAGACTAAAGATTGACCATACAAATACCTGATCTTATGCTGGCATTGATTTGTATCAGTTCAATGCAATATGGATATCAAATTAATATTGGTTAAAGGCTCATATCAAAATCTTCTCAAAGGCTGGTAGGAAAACAGCGAGATTTGCTGGCATAAATGCTATTTTCTAGTTTATTATAGAGGTAGTCCTCAACTTATGACCACAGTTGTGCCCAAAATTTCTGCTTCTAGGCAAGACCGCTGTTAAGTGAGTTATGCCCCATTTTACAACCTTTTTTGCCAGAGTCATTAAGTGAACCACATTAAGTGACATGGTTGTTAAGTGAATCTGGCTTCCCCCATTGGCTTTGCTTGTTAGAAGCTCACAAAAAGTCATCCCGTAACCTCAGGACACTGCAACCATCAGAAATAAGTTCCAAGCATCTGAATTTAAAAATGTGGAAAACGGTCAAGTTGCCTTTTTCAGTACTGTTGTAACTTTGAATGGTTACTAAAGAAATGCTTATAAGTTGAGCTCCTACTCAGTTAGGTATTTAAAGTAATGTAAGATTAAGGTAATAATCAGCCACAATAAAAGTTGCCCTGAAATCAATAAACTCATAGGAATTAAGTCCTGTGCTGCTTTTAAATTTCTTCAAACATTTCCACTTATTTTATTTATTTATTTGTCAAGCAAGTATTAGATATCAGGTATAAGTATAAACATGGTTATGAATACATGAAATGGATACAAACACAACAAGAAACAATAGGACAGGGACGGCAGACACGTTGGTGCGCTTATGCAACCACTTATTCAACCATCTCATAAAAACGTTCAGTAATGCTCTGTGAGAAGGCAGCCAGGCTAAGAACCACCACAGGATGATTGACTCAGGAGAAAGAAAGGGCAAAATGGGCAGCTTAGGGTGAGTGAAAGAATGAAAGTCACAGAAAAGAAACGTTTGATTCCTGGTTTGTATTTAAGGTGAGGGAAAGATGGAAGAAACATTTGTGGCTTCATCAACAGGGGAAGGCATGGAGGTGATCAACATGGCTGAGAGTGAGGACTCCCAACAGCTTGGGAATACAGCAGTGAAGGACATCTTGCTGGACTTAGTCATCTCTCTGAACACGGCCAGTGTCATGCTCTTTTTTTTATGCGTGACATAGAGCCAGAAGTCTTAGCAATGGTAATGGATGAAGACAACCTGAACATCTACTTCTGCTTCATGATTGCCTACTAAGCTGTGACCACCACTCGGACCCAGGGACCTCAGTACCAACTAAGCATGTCTCCACACCATGGCCCCTGAAAGGAGCAATAAACCTTCTTGCTAAAGCTTGTAGGGTGTGTTTTAAGCTAGAAATATGAATTCTGATCAATATTTTGCCCATTCTTAGATGTCCCTTTAGTTTTTTTCTTGGGCTTTAGAAGCCCTTTAGGTAAACACATAATCCCGCTGTAATTTTTCTTTCTGGTCCCCAGGACCTTCTAATCAACATACTGTGAATAGGAAAAACTCTATATCAGAGAGCAAAAAGAAATCAGTCTAGACATTTCCCCAATGTCTTCATTTTCTATGCATAGTTCCTAATTTCAGAGGATCTATCGATCCTTCTTTAATCTGAAATGGTGCATAGTCACCCTGTGTTAAGCTGTCCTCAACAAAAGACATGAGCTTTTGTTTTTCACACCTGAAAAATAATTTGGTTTTATTTTTTAGAATTATGGGGATTCCTTCCTGCCAGTTGAGGAAAACTGGAGTGGTTTGCCTTTAAATGACTCAGCAAGGTTACAAGATGTTTAATCTTCTCTTAGGCTTCATCTCCCAACTGATTATCTATCAGCCTCCGGGGCAGGCACATGATTCCTCCCTTTGTAAGATTTTAAACAGCCAGCCGACCCCTCTCTGAATTCTGACCATTTAAGGTCAGGCTGTACGGAGAAGATGAGCAGCATCAGAGAGGTAGTTTTCCCTGGCACTATGCTATGGAGAGAAAAAAAAATCCCCTCTGCCTGCATTGCAGTGAGACCTCTAAGTGCTGTTTTTAAAGGAGGGAGACACATGTGAACTGCAACTGCATATTTAATGTATCGTTGTGCAAGCATTTTTAACATGCCACAGAGGCAACATTTTTTACAGGTGGTTGCTGCTTCCTATGCTTGTTCTCATCTTAATCTTCGGGAGCACCAAACGAACCTTTGAGAAATTGTGATATCCTCCATGGGGGGCTATGATTCTGGTTATGCTTCATGGCACCATTGGGGGAATAGGACCCAGAGCTGTTTTTCTACCTTGTTATGATGTGGTAAATACGCGTAAGATTTTGAACTTCCTTAGCTTTAAATGCAAATGGTCTCCCAATGTTTGCTGTCCTGCTGCTGCTTTAGTTATTTCTCCGTTTGCTCTCAAAAAAACCATAGTGCCTGTTGTACAGATTTTTTAAAATATTGTGCTGTACTGCTCTTAGACCTCAATAAAGGGAAAGAGATATTGTGCCGTTACAAACAACGTACAGATTATGTCGATTTAATTGTGACTCCGTTTTGTGCTTTTAAAAGTACACATTGATTTGTTCACTTAAATTGGAATAAAACTTTTTGGTGCTTCTGTTTGAACATGTTTGATGCATCTGGGCCAGGGGCCATCAGCTTGAAACAGCTGTAGGGCTGCACTCATCTGAAGAATGGCACATCAGTGTCTAATTTATACAGGCTGTTCTGGAAAATAGTACCATCTTAGTGTAAAAAGCCAAGAAGACAAGCTATTTCATTTTTGCCCCTTTGTTCCATTCTGTGTCTGTCAGGCTCTACTTCTGTTGCCACAGACAAAACAAGTCCCTTTGCTCCTTTCAACCGTTGTTGGCTCTGCTCCTATGTATTCATATCGATTTTATTATTTCTAGCCCAAAAGGATGGTCTTCATATTAGTATGTACCAGTGGTGAGATTCAATTTTTTTTACTACTGGTTCTGTGGGCATGGCTTGGGGAAGGATACTCTAAAACTTTCAGTCAGAGGTGGGATTTGTCGGTTCTCCGAGCTACTCAAAATTTTCGCTACCAGTTCTCTAGAACTGGTTAGAACCTGCTGAATACCACCTCTGGTACGTACTTATGGTATCTGTAAATGTACTTAATGTCTTAAATAGGATTTCAGTTGGAAGAATGAGGAAAAGATTCTTAAAAGATGGCCATGAAAAAACACACTAGCAGTTGCCAGATTCCTTTTCTCAGAAAAGGTCTTAGGTAGCAATCAACACAGTGGTACTATTCTACCGGTTCGACCTGGTTCTGGTGTGCAGGTAGCACCGAAGATCAGCGGAGACCAAATTGGTTCTCTCTGATGAGCTGCTGTTGGGCCTACTCACCCGCCTGGGCTCCCATACTGACCTTTATTCCCTGCTTTTGAAGAGCAGCTGCTTTGTGCAGCACAGCAGATTGTCGTGTGTCAGCTGCTGAAGCTACAGGGAGAGTGCAGGATTGCAGGAGAAGAGTAGGAAAGCCTCTGCGTGTGTGCAAAGTGTGCTTTTGGTGTGCATGCACATGCAAAGGGTGCACACACACAAAGCCTACCCACCAAGCCTCGCCCACCAAACCAGTGGCAACCTACTTTGCAACCCACCACTGAATCAACAATATTAGTATGAAATACTATACGATCTTTTTAAGTGATGAAAAATTAGAAGATTTTTCATGTATATTTACATCAGAGTGTTTAGCCTAAATTGTCAAGTGTTACTTAGTCACCTCAGTGTTTGGTCTCCAAGTGAAAGAATGATGAGGAAAACAATATTTTTTGTGTGGCTTCCAGCAGATAAAGCAAATATCAAGGTTATATCATGTAATTTTAATAGTAAAGTAAAATAACTGGTAATCAATATATACATTTATTTAAGATTAATTCAGATTTTTAAAAAAGCATAATTTACAGCATGACATGAAGCATTAACTGATTGATAAACTATGGTTTTACAGCTGGGAATCAGAATTTGAAAATGTAATCTAAAATCATAATTGGATGTAATTTTTGCAATCTAGGAAGTGTACAAACTATATTGTGATATGATTTATGAACAAAACATAGCTGTGTTTATTGCTTTGTCTTCAGGAGCTACATCATGAAGATAAACAACATGATTTTTACTTATGGTTATTTGAGGACTATTTAAAACAGAGGTCCCCAATCGGTGGTCCACGAGAAAATTTTGGTGGTCCACGGCGCACCCAGGTGGAGGAGCTGCTCCGACCAATGGTCCAGTCCTGTGACTAGAGCTCTGGGCTATGGGACTGGCTAAGCAGCTTGTGCTGGGGCTGGAAATCTCCACCTAGAGGGAGGAACATGCAACTTGCAACTTTGCAGGAGGTGCAATGTGCAAGGAGTAGCGCAGCCCTCACTGCCCAGAACGAGGTAATGGTGCTGTTGCAGAAAGAGGGGGAAGCAACATGTGTCGGCAATCTGCAACTCTTTGTTCCCTCTGCAGTTGCTTCCTGTCGACTGAATCTACCACTGGCTGGCCCCGCCCCTTGCCCTCCTATCTCACTCACTCCTCGCCTGTCCTGAGAAAGGAAGGGCGGTGGATGGAGATTTGCTCCGTACTCCTGCTATTTCAAAGTGGGAGCGAAGCTTCATCTCTTGCTGGATCTCGCAGGAATTTCTTCCAGCCCTTGTTGGTGCTGCACAACTGGGAGATGTGCAACTTCCTCTCTGCCCCAAGACACTGGCTGGCCCAGATGAAAAAAATGAGAGAAAGAGAGAGGAAAGGAGAGAGGGAGAGGGAGAGATCCCAGTGTTGGTTTTCTGTGGAAAATGAATCAAAATGGCTCTTTGAGTGTTTAAGGTTGCAGAAACAGGTGGCCAAACTAAGTGCCTGAAGGACCCCATCCCATCACTAGGAGTCCAGGCACTTCAGCAAGCGGAGTGCTGGATTCATATTAGTGGTTTGTGGGATTTAAAATTATGAATTTAGTGGTCCCTGAGGTTCAAAAGGTTGGAGAGGCCTGATTTAGAACATCAAGCTGTGAGTCTGATAGCTATATTCTCTGTACAAAAAGCTCTTGAATTAATAGGAAATTATCATGTAAAGGAGCAAGAATGAATTTTTCTTGCACAATTAGGTTTCTTTAGTTTTACATGACAAATCAGTCATTATCTTCATTCTACAAACACAAATTTCTCACACTGACCATGGATTAAATCTTAACATGTGTGCTTTGGCAGATATTGAATCTTCGGATTTATTGTCTCAGAGCTTCAGGTTTTGCTTTTCTAGTTCTCAGGTGCTTTTTTTTGTCTGATTACAAAATGCTTTTTACAAAATGCTTTTTAAAAGTACTGTAGTAGTGAAGTTCCACAGTGTGGAATGTTCTCTTCTTTTACATCTTGATAAATGAATGGAACCTTCTTTCACATTGACAACTGGAGAATAGGGGAAGAAAAAGCAATGTGTCATGAAGGAATGGAATATAGCCTTGCCACAAGCATGATCGATATACTGAGTCATGACTTTACAGCTCCAATCTCTGTGTCTTCTGCATTAACTGTCACATGTGCTCTTGAGGTCATTTCACCAGATACGGCACTTAAGAGCTGGATTCATTGGTGACTCGCTTGGACATTGGAAATGTCTAGAGAAATGCTGGCTGTTGCTTAAAGAACCAAGCACACGAAGAGGAGGAGGACTGTGGGGATCCTTGTGTAAGAAGGCTTTCAGACTTTCCAGACTCTGGCGCCCACACATCGCCTGTGGAAAATACGCAGTTGTAAATCATGAATGGCAAAATTAAAACAAGTCATTTTTCCATATAGTCTTTTACACCTCTGTTTACAAACATTCAGTTCCAGGTGGGAGAAGAAAGTTAGCATAGAGAAGCAGCAAACAAAATAATTGCACCCTAGTACAAATATTGAAAGAAAAAGCCACTCAGGTTGGAGAACTTTTGAGAATAGAGAAAAGGTAAATGCAGAGAAAGAAAAATGACATATACTCCCTCATAATATTTATGGCCACAAAGCAGATGGCATTGTTACTTATCACCATTATTATAATCATTAGCATCAATCAGGAGCTCACTAATACAGATTTCTTTCTATGGGTACTTTTGTCTGATTCAATAACATGGGTACACAAACCCACAACTTTGCCCAATTTATGTACATCATATGACATGCTATTAGACCTTTCTCAAGCCAAATTTACACCTTGTTGATCTGTGTTGATTCAAACAGAGGAAGGTCCTTTCAAAGTAAGAAGGAAGAGCACTGGTATTTACACATTATAAAAAAGATGTTGAGAGTCTAGAAAAAGTACAGAGAAGAGCAACCAGGATGATGAGGGCACTGGAGACTAAAACATATGAAGAATGATTAAAACATATGAAGAACTGGGCTTGGCTAGTCTAGTAAAGAAAAGGACCAGGGGAGACATGATAGCAGTCTTCCAATATTTGGGGAGCTGCCACAGAGAGGAAGGGGTCAAGGTATTTTCTAAAGCACCAGAAGGCCAGACAAGGGATAATGGATGGAAACTGAACAAGGAGAGATTTAACCTGGAAATAAGGAGAAACTTTCTGACAGTGAGAACAATCAACCAATGGAACAGCTTTTCTTTGGAAGTTGTGGGAGCGCCATCACTTGAGACTTTCAATAAGAGATTGGCCTGCCATCTGTCAGATGGCCTGCCATCTGTCAGAAATGGTGTAGGGTCTCCTGCTTGGACTAGATGACCTACAAGGTCCCTTCCAACTCTGATTTTCTGTTATTATCTGTTATCCTCCTGAAACTAGCATCATATTTTCATGGTACAGTTATTGAGCTACAGATGCTCCTGATATAACTTAAGGGAAAAGAGCTGCACAATATTCCAAGAAAATGTAAAAGCAGTAGGTAAGGTGGTAAAAATATAAAGAATTGAGTACCAAACTAAAAGCACCAGTGGAAAAAAAATGAAAGATGAATTACATGGGCAAAGCTGACAAAGAAGAGTTGATAGTGTGACAATCCAAGCTTAGGTAAATTTGTTACCCCTCTGTGCTTTGCAAACCATTTTTCATAAGCCTGTGAAGAAAAGAAAGAAAATAAATAAATGCATTTTATACTTTGGGATATGACGTTAAATGAGAAAACAATAATGCAGGCATGGCAACTTTTGGAGTAGAGCATCCTGCTTAAAAAAAGAGCCATAGTTAGGGGAAGAGTCCCTCTGACCATCTTCAAAAGTTGGAAGTGAAGGGACACTATTTTGCAGTGATTCTCTCTTTTTCAGAACCATTTTCCATCTGATATCAGAGTCCCTGTTATGAAGCTAGCCAAAGCTCAATTCTCTCTCCCCTCCTATTTGCTGGGGAAGGTCATTCGTCCACATGGTGTCAGTAATATCCTAATGGTACTCAGGTGTATATCTCAAGCCTGGCCTAAAGAGGGGATATGGTGAAGATGTTATTTAAGTGCTTGGAGTCTATAAGGATCTGGATTGAAAAGAACTAACACAAGATTAATCTCATCAGGTTGAAGTGGCTTCCTTTGAGTTCAGAAACCAACTTGGTCTGGGAACATCCCTGCCTTGTTTCTAGTTAGGATGATACCCAAACACCCAGAGTTGGGTTCTTACTCAACTGTAAGAGTGATTTTATTTTGGCCTGATTTTTCCTTGATGAGATAGAAATGATTTACATATTTATTGTTGTATTTTATAACTACATTTTGTTATGGGTTTGGTGGGTAAACTGCTTAGAGATGGTTTATGACAACAGTGGCATATAAGCACGTGAAACAAATAAATACATAACATGTGAATAAATACATTAAAATAATTGTGCCTTTTTTGTTTCTATTTACTGGATTTCTGCCCCAAATGGAAGTAATAATCCTGTTGTTTAATATTTTATGATTGCATTTCAGTGGCATGATCTTGGCTAACATCTAAGGTTATCAAATAAAATATGGGGGCTCTAATGAAACATTGCAATATATTGCATCCCCAATGGTTAGGCTAATCATGTAGTGAGAGGTTAAACAATAGCTGTTCCAGGTTGTTCTTTCCTTGGTGCTTCTGCTAATATGACTCATACATATTGCTTTGACTCATGGTCTAGCACTTAGCTGATCCTTTGATAACAAATAGGTAATCATTCCAGAGATCTTTGCATACTGCAGAAATCTGTGCTATGATTTCTCCTCCTCCTTAAATAATCTAATGGCTGAGTGAGCAAAGCCTTTTATGGCATTTTAAAATTAGCAACATGGTTCCTATGGGTCTGGGGAATAGAACAGCTTGTACAAAAGTGATGTCCCAGACATGAAGTGGTTCTCACTTTGGCCAAGAGGCCTCTACACATCTTTCTTGTCTTGACACTTTGTTCCTAATTGAGTCTTGAGAGAAGCAACATCACTGAGCAAGAAAGGAAAACTTTGCTGGGATTTTTGCCAGCAGTCATCAAGGTTACAGGGTCAGTTGCAACTCTTAACCAAATGAACATCTAGCAGCAAAATAATATGAACTTTCTGCACATTATGTGTGAAATAAATTCTATTGCTCATTTAAATGTATATAAACCTAATCAATCTGCTGATCAAATCAACTATTTAGAAATGTAATTACTACACATTGGTTTTCACAATCTATTTTTCTATAGTTATTGCAGTTTGCCTTTCCATAATTAGTTTCAATTAAAATCTCAGAGATGCTGTCCTTAGCTAGTTCCTCTTTTTTTTTTAAAAAAAGGGGGGGGGATTCTGCCCTTATTCCTTCACATGCATCACATGAATTTTGTATTGAGTTCCTATGGATTTCAAACACAGACTCGCAAGGCTTTTGTAAGAGCCAAAAACCATCTGCAAAATTCTAAACAGTACAGGTAATCCTCAACTTACAATCATAATGGAGCGTGCCCATTATGGTTGTAAGTCATAAAATGGGTCACCAATACCACGGACCCATCATTAAGCAAACCAAATGTTTGCTATCGGCCAGTTTTACTGAAAACTGGAAGCTGAACTGAACTGAAATGCTGATTTTCAGGAAAAAGATTGTCAAATGGGATCATCTGACTGGAGGACACTGCAAATGGTCATAAGGACTACCTGTATAAAGTTCAGTTCATTATACTATGATCGTTTCTGATTTGTCAAGTGCAGATGAAGTCAGTTTGTTTGAAAGGGAAGACCTACTAAATTTCTCTATGGATTTGATTTGGATACCTGGTAAGCAATGGCAAGCCCTCCGGTGTCAGCTAAATTCTCCAGAAATGTGAAGGAACCATTGATGCTATGGCCGTTCAGGGAGTAGTTCCCATATTGTTTCACCAGACAATCTTTATCTTCTGCTGGTATATTCAGGCCACAAGTAGAACAGTTCTCGGGCAATACTGTAAACAAAAGGAAAGAAACTCCAAAAAGAAAGTGATGTGTGATAATGGCTCTCATCAGCCACTGTAACTCTCTATATAGTTCCATTAAACAAAACTTCCCTTCTCAAAGCCCTCCTTCAATCTGTAATGACTAAATATTGCTTCAGGTGCTAGAACTTGAATTGTGAAAATCTGTGCAGATGTCTAGAATTTCTTCCAGGTTGTGGGGTTAATAAGATGGTCATCTAATCTACTTTTTAGTAGTCTGAAATAATTATAGAATATTTCATAACATTTATATTTTCATTGCCATCCCATATGTTGAGCCTTGTATCCATTTCTCCCTAAATTAAATCAGCATTAATATAAATTGCTCACAGATTTTCCTTCAACATAAGGAAAAAATACCTTTCGCTCTAATACATTTTGTGATATAAGCTTCATGGAATCTTTTTATGATGTAAGTAATTTTTTTAAATGTAATTTATTTTCAGGCCATTTTCATGATTTTTTTTAAAAAAAGAGGGTGATTTGCCTTTGAATGGAAAAAGGCAAACTCTAACAGGACTTTATGTAAGAATTCAATTGAAATCAAGAGAAAGTAAAATGCCCAAAGCTTTCATAGCACAATTGTAGCAGAATTAATTTACATCTCTAGAGTGGTAGCTCAATCCAATATGAGTTTGGGGCCCTTTGTTCCATTTAATTAAAATGGTTTGAATGTTATGAATAAAGGTACTTTTTTCTGTCAGTTAACAATGCATATGGGGAAAGGATGAAATACAAGATGCATTTCTCCTTGAAGAATGGAGATATCATTGTTAAAGAAAAATACGGGAGCCCAGAAGAACTAGATTTTTCAATGGAGATTTCAATATTGTACTAACCATGTTGTAGGTTTAACGGGTGGTGTGTTACAGGTAGTCCTTGACATATGACCATAATTGAGCCTTACATTTCTGTTTCCTAAGCAGAATTTTGCTCCATTTTGCTCCATTTTTTGCCACAGCTGTTAAGTGAATCACTGCAGCTGTTAAGTTAGTAACATAGCTGTTAAGGGAATCTGTTTACCCGTTTATTTTACTTGTCAGGAAATCGCAATAGGTGATTACATGACCCCAGGACACTGCAACCGTCATGAATACATGCCAGTTGCCAAGCATCCAAATTTCGATCATGTGACTGTGAGAATGCTGCAGTGGTCATAAGTGTGAAAAGCTGTTATCAGTATTTTTTTTCTAGTGCTGTTGTAACTTCAAAGGATCACTAAACAAATGGTTGTAAGTCAGGGACTATCTGTACCCTTTTGAAAAAACTGAAATGACTCATGTCACACCTGTCCCGTGTGTTCAGGCACTGTTTCATCTAAGCAAGGTGACCTTGGAAGTGTCAAAGGAAAGAAACCAAAAAAGCCCTCTTTCCCACAACTCCAAAACTTGATCCCCAAACCATATACTTGTGATTTTTTTTAAAAAAAAATATGGGTCTATAATTCTGTAAAAAAAAAAAAAAAGAGGGATGGAATGGGGGAGTATCAGATGAAAGGGGGACAGAATTAGTGGCCAACAAAACATTTGCCATTAAAAAAAAATCACACCTCCCTCCCAGAGGTGGTATTGAGCAGGTTTTGACCAGTTCTGGAGAACCAGTAGCAGAAATTTTGAGTCGTTCAGAGAACCGGTGGTAAGCTACTCCCAGGAGTGAGGAGGGAATGGAGATGTAATATTCTTCCCCTACCACGCCCACCAAGCCATGCCACGCCCACGAAGCCACGCCCACAGAACCAGTAGTAAAAAAAATTGAATCCCACCACTGCTCCCTCCCCCAAACCACTTGTACCAATTCTATAAATGCAGATAACAGGATGGTCAATATATTACCCATCATTTGTCAGAATACATACCATAATCATACAAGGAGTGCAGTAGTTCATGCGCCATGAAAAAACCCATGACTCCAAAATTGACAGCACTGGAAAAAAGACGTGGGAGATTTTTAAAATTTCCATAGATTTGTCTTAAATATAGATGTCTAGATATGAAATGTAGCAAATAGGCTGGTGACTGTCAGCTTCTGGATGGGTTAGAACAGACTGAACTCTGGCAAATCAGGCCTGGGGCTGATATAGCAAGTTCTTCTGTGGCCACCAGAGCTGCTCCTTGATGGGCAGATTCAGAGCTACTCCTTGAATCAGGGGCAGATTCAAGACTTGGGAATCCTGATGGACTCACAATTCATGTTAGATCAACAGTTGGAAGCCAAAGCAAGAGGGACTTCTACCCTCTGATTGGTGTACCAATTGTGTCCAATGACCACCCATAATAGACTACTGTAATGTGCTCTACTTATGGCTGCCCTTAAACAATAGTCACAAACTGCAGTTGGTTTAAAATGCAGCAGCCCACATAATTTTGATAGACGGAGCACATAACACTGATTTTATGAAGTCTGCATTGTTTGCAAGTTGGTTTCTGGTCCACATTAAGGTAATAGGTCCACATTAACTTTTAATGCCCCTCATGGTTTGGCAGCCAGAGACTTCAGGACCATGTTCTCCAGCCAGCATTTGAACAGTCATTAATGGTTTTTATAGGTGTCTTGCCATTTTCCTTACCTGGGAAATTCAGTATGGAAGAAAGGATTACGAAACATCCCAGCAGGAAAAACTACAGCATGGTGCCGCAGTGAATAGTAGGAATGGACAGACCAAGAAGGCACTTCCCAACTGAAATGGAGGGGGGAAAAATCACAGTAAGCGAAGGAAATAATTGCTTTCATTGGAACTCTCTCGTTTTTGCTTGTATATGTTCTCACATTTATAGCAATGCCAAATTCTTCATCGTTTTAGTTTTCCAAATTACTTGACCTTTTCAACAAAATGACACCAATGTGTTAGCAATCTGCTGATTCAAATGTCTTGCTTGAGTCTGGTTTGTCTTCAGACAGAAGCATTTTACATTTTCAGTCTATATCTGTTTTAAAATTTATCATCTACTTATGTATATTAGTATATTATTCTGGTGTGTGGTACATATTAATATCATTATTATCATCCTCTGGCTAAATTGATCCATAGTAAAATGAAGGACTGCTCACTGAAGTTTTGGGACATAATCAAACACACTAGTCCAAGGCAAATTGGCAAATCCACATTTACTGAGATGAAGTGGTTGTCCCAAAAATCACCCAGCTGGCTTCTGTACCCAAGACTAGATTAGAACTTTAGTCTTCTCATTCCTAGTACAGTGAGAGAGGCAGAGGTGGTATTCAGCAGGTTCTGACCAGTTCTGGAGAACCGGCAGCAGAAATTTCAAGCAGTTCGAACAACTGGTAAATACCACCTCTGACTGGAGATTTTACAGTATCCTTCCCATGCCACGCCCACCAAGCCATGCCCACAGAACTGGTAGTAAAAAAAATTGAATCCTACCACTAGGGAGGGGAGGGGAGGGAGGGAGGGAGAGAGAGAGAGAGAGAGAGAGAGAGAATACGCAGATGAATAAGTCTTCATTCAACTGAAGTTGTGTACAAGGACACATCAATAATCTATAAATAAAAAAAAGAGTTCAAGTAATAGTAATAGTAAACACTTCTGAACTTTTCTAAAATGTCTAATCTTATAGATTAAACTGGAAGCAGAGGAGAGCAAATCTGCAGAACAATAGCAGAAGAGGATGTGGGAAACCAAGATATTAGTTTATTCATTTGGCAAGAAAAACATACCCATCATGCTGACGGGGACTGACAAGTCTGAGCAAGATCTTCTTCTTCAGTGAGTTTAGGCAGGCAACCACATTGTGGAAAAAATTATTCTCTTCAATCTTCAGCTGAACAAAGTAGCAAACAATAATGTTAGGAATGGGAGTTCAATTACAATTAATGTTTAGCAAAGACAATAAATTTTATTTTTCATTTTGTTCTTTTGGTTCTAGCTAAGTTTCACGCTGTTAAATAATTAAATACAAATTATTTTGGGTATTTAATTCTTCCGACACTCCCCTGAAATTCTAAGCTTCTATCAACAGGTGATAAATCTGTAACTCTACAAAGGCACAATCATTTGGCAGGTGAGAGTTTCATTATATACTGCCTGCCTTTTAAATAATTTATCGCTCCCCCATCATCTTTCATGGAATTGATGGAGGAAATAAGCTGATTATTCCTTTCCTCTGTAGCTGTAATTTGACAAAAATTATATCCTCCTTTCCTGTATGCTGCCCTTCCAACACAAGCAAAAGTAACTATTAATTGTTAAGACAAAACAAAGAAACAAAGGACAACCTATAAGTATAATGGATTTAACACACAGTTGATTTATGGATTTATTCATTTATTTTATTTTATTTTATTTATTTTTATTTGTCAATTGCTTACAAGATAACAGGTAAAAACATAGTTATGAATACAGGGATACATATAAGAAAAATAAAAAAAAATAAAAGAAACAATAGGGCAGGGACGGTAGGCACGTTGGTGCGCTTATGCACACCCCCTACAGACCTCTTAGGAAAGGGGTGAGGTCAATAGTAGACAGTCTAAGGTTAAAGTTTTGGGGGTCTGGGGAAAAAAACCACAGAGCCAGGTAGAATATTCCAGACATTGAAGTTGTTGCTGAAGTCATATTTCCTGCAATCAAGTTTGGTGTGATTAACCTTGAGTTTGTATCTATTGTTTGCTCTAGTGTTGTTATGGTTGAAGCTGAAGCATTCATTGATAGGTAGGACATTGCAATGTATGATTTTATATATTATATTTAGATCGGACCGAAGGTGGCATAGTTCTAGGTTTTCTAGGTCTAGAATTTCTAATCTGGTGGCATAAGGTACTCTACAACGAGTAGAGGAGTGGAGAACTCTTCTTGTGAAATATTTCTGGACTTTCTCAACTGTGTTAATATCAGATATGTAATGTGGGTTCCAGACTGATGAGCTGTATTCAAGTATTGGTCTAGCAAATGTTTTGTATGCTCTAGTTATTAGTGTAATATTTCCAAAGAAAAAGCTACGTAAGATTAGGTTAGCAACTCTTAACGCCTTTTTGGCTATGTAGTTACAGTGGGCTCTAGCACTTAGGTCATTTGAGATGAGTACTCCAAGATCCTTGACAGAATTTGGATCATCAACAAGGTCTTGACTATTCAGCCTGTATTTTATTTTCTGATTTTTTTGCCAATATGTAGGACAGAGCATTTATTTGTTGAGATTTGAAGTTGCCATTTGTTTGACCATTCTGATACATAATGAAGGTCTTTTTGAAGGGTAGCAGTATTGTCTGTGGTGTTGAATAGCTTTACATCATCAGCGAAGAGAACACAGTTGCTCTTGATATGATCACAGAGGTCATTTATGTAGAGTATGAAAAGAGTTGGTCCTAGAACACTGCCTTAGGGGACACCACTGTTGACAGGTACAGAATTTGACAGGACGCTCCTAATTTTGACCATTTGTTGTCTGTTTGACAGGAATGCTTCTATCCAGTTATGCAGGTGTCCAGAGATACCATAAGATTTTAGTTTTAGTAGTAGTTTGTTGTGTACCACTGAATCAAAGGCTTTACAGAAGTCTATGTAGATTGTATCATTGCTTTGCCCTGATCGAGTTGTGTAGTCCATATGTTTTTTCAGCGTAAGAGTTGCAGATTACATGATAGTTTTTTCCTAAAACCAAATTGTTTATTAGAGAGTAGGTTGTTTATTTCTAAGTGGAGAATAATGGATTGGTTAGTAATTGATTCTATTACTTTACAGGTGATGCAGCATAAAGAGATTGGTCTGTAATTTTCAACTAGGCTGGGGTCTCCCTTTTTGAAGATGGAGATGACCGTGGCTTGTGACCATAGTTTTGGCAAGGAGCTGCTCCTGAAAGATTTTTCAAAGATTATGCTTAGAGGTTCAGCTATGGCAGTGAGTAGCTTTTTTAAGAAGTAGGCACATATTCCGTCCAGTCCAAAAGATAGGGATGGTTTTAGATTGCGCAGTGTTTTTTCAACAATGTCTTCTGTAAAATTGATATGTATTAGATCATTGTAGTTGCCTATGGTTCAACTAGGAAATACTGGGCATGATCCATTGCTGTTTACAAATACTGAGCCAAAGAATGTGTTAAAGAGGTTGGCTTTAATAGTGTCGTCGTTGCAGTCTTTACCATTAGGTCCTTTCAGGGGTGGGATGAACCTTGAGTCTTTTAGTTTGTTGTTTATAAAATTGTAGAAAGCACGGGTAGAATTGGTGCGTAGAAGGTTTTCTTCTTGTTTAATGTGATAATTGGTGCATTCAGTTTTTATCTGGTGGCATAAATTTTTGTATCGGCTTTTGAAGTTGGCAACGTGACCAGATTTGTTTTTCCGCCAAAGTGATTTCTGTTTGGATTGAAGCTTCCTTATTGTTTTGGGTAATTTGTTTTTTCTGGTTTTGGGAGTTGTTAATGGTACATATAGTTTGATGACTCTTTTGACTTCAAGTAAAAATATGTTGTAATGGTCTTCTACAGTGTTGCATCCAGAGAATAGAAATTGCCAATCAAGGGATGATAGATTGTTGTTTATAAGATCATAGTTGCCTTTTTTGAAGTTATAATTGGGGATTCCATCATTGTGATGATTTTTGTGTGGACGTATGTTGAGACAAAAGTCAATCATGTTGTGGTCACTGTTGGAAAAGGATTCTTTAATTTGTATTCCGTAAATTGAATTCAAACTATTGCAGAAGATGAGAAGATGATTCAATCTTTTGCTGATAATTTAAAAGTTTCTAACTTTATTTATAAAATTGAAAACTGGGCAGTTTTACTTCAAGAGCTACCTGAAATAGAAGTATTCATGAGCAGAGAACAGCTGTGTCAAAATGGCATGCAAAGAGCAGGATTGTCAAACCCTTACTCCTTTTTAGATGCCTACAAGAGCAAGGACCTGGCCCTCCATGCTTTTTTGATATTGTTGACTCTCTTGGCAGTGTCCCCTGACTAGGGATGAAATAGCATTCACGTCTTTGATTCAATTCCTAGTATTTGAAACTATAGGAGAGCAGGAAATATACTTTTCTGTGTCAAGACCTATACTTCAGCGGGAGAAATAAAGACATTTGAAGGCAAATCAAAAATGGTGCTTAACTTTTACCTCTTGGTACTCATTGTCAATTTTGTTTGCTTGGAGCATGGTTTCTGGATATCCAATCTCCACTTGGAGGCTATAAATCTAAAAATATGAAAATAAAGATTAGTTATTTATTCTGAACCTATGACATGGTGAAAAAAGGACAATTGACATTGGTATGTAAACAAGGGAATCCTTCAGAAAACACTTGAGTATTAACTTACAGAGTATGGTTTCACCTGCTTGTAACTCTTGTATTTCATTCGCTAATGTAAGTGAACCGAATTTTCTACAAAGCAGGCCACAATCAAAGGCCACTAAAGATTGAATAAGAAATTTTCTAGTCTATGCCTGGAATTAGACTGATGAATTTCATGTTTATATAACCTTTGTCTTGAAGGTAAAGGTAGCACTGACAACATTACCAAGCATTACAGAAACAAAGATAAAATTTCTGAAGTGGTAAGTGCTGGAATAAATACTGACTTCTCAGAAATGTCCAAGCTCTGTCTCGTATACCTGGAGCTCCATTCCAGACCTGGACACTAGTTTTGAAGTCTCTGAGCTGGAGAAAAAACTCCCTAGATATAAATTCTAGTACAGTCATCCATTCCCATAATGTAACCAAACAAGTATCACAATAGGTGAACATACTTTCTTCTTGGCTTCTTGACGGGATTGGGAGTTCATCCAATTAACTTGATCCAGATGGCTGTTAATGGCATCCCGGATCTCAGAAAAAATCTCTTCTGCCTGGCCAGAGAAAGAAAAGAGAGTCCCAGAAGTAGGGAAGCATTTCACCTGTTATTTGCCCATAAGGCCCAAGATTAAACTGAGTTTACTAAACTTTAAAAACAAGCAGTTGTATAGTAGATATGGAAGCATTCTTGAAAGGAATGGTTAAGGAGAAATGAAATCTAGCCACCTATTGTTTTGTTTTGAATATTGAGTATGATATTAGAATGCTGAAGAGCGTATTTTATCTGATACTACTTTGTTTCCTTCCTGAGGAAGTGCTCCTTCCCTTATAATATAACACTATCTCCTGCCATTTCCAATGAAATCTAAGATTAGCTATGAATAGGCATGAAACATACCACATAAGCATATTAATTTGAAAAGCACAAGAGAATATGGACCCAAAAGCCAGTATCTGGTACTATTGAATACCTACGAGATCTTTGGCCTTCTGGGGGAAAATCTCCTGCACAACCATCTTCCCAAGTACAGGACTAAAGAATGTGCTAGTGTCACTCAGGCATTTCCTCCATCGCTCAGTTCTTATCTGAAAATAATTAAAATCAAATTAAAAATTGAACAAGTATGAAAAATGAATGGGAGCATTTGCTCTGGAATATAGCTGAATATGGCTGTGGATGAAAATCCATCCCAAATTTTTTTCCAGGATTTAAGTTGAAAAAAAAATCATGGAAGAAGACAATACAACCCAAACAGGAATATGCATGGAGTCCTGCTTACCCCATGGGAGCCTCTCTCCTTCAATAAAAAATATGTTTCATCTACACACAAGAATGTACTTCTTCTGCCTCCTCCAATATGGCATAAAAACATAATCCATCCTTCAGTAGTGCATGAATCTGGAGCAGCATCTCGGTCTGGAGATCAGGAGTAGAGGGTTTACAAGAACAAGCCATGGGGGCAGTTTTCCTCCCCTTTGTAAAAATAAAATGTGATCACTAGAAGCTACAAGAACAGCCAGAAGACTGTGTCCCCTTCTGCAGCTTCAGTGGATGAGGCAGGATTGCTGAAGAAGCAATGCATCTGTGGAAATGGCCATCATTGTAGTCATGAGCCTATCTCAGGAAGTAGCATTTGCAAATATGAAACATTCTCAAGAAACAGAGGAGTTCACTAGGCCATCAACAGAAGGTTTTTGTCTAATGGTGGAACAACCCCAAAACGTAGTTGTTATCAGTAGTATTTGTCCTACTTAACTGGAAGTCCACCACCAGGCCACATTATTTTAAAAAGGGGAGGGGAATGTCCCTATCCCCTAGTATTTTAAAAAGGGGAAGGGAATGTCCCTATCCCCTATTTAATATTTGGAGAGGAAGAATCCCAGGGATGATTTTACTAAGAATCCTACTGATGAGTTTACTGATGAGTTTCATGCATTCTAGCACTCCTAAATTAGAATGAAAAATCGAGCTTGGGTTAACATTAAGTGTTAATTCTTAATACAATAGGGAAAAAAAGTACAAGGAAAGCACGTATCTTACCATGTTCCCTGCCCTGCTATCCAGCACATTTGCTAATTCTTGGCGAGCTTTCTGGAATTGGCTGTCCAGGGCTGGGGAGAGATTTCCAACTAGGCAAAGTATCATATAGGTCTGCAATACATCTCTAAAATAAGAAAAAGAAAGGAACAAAATGTGATTTTTGTCCCTGTAATAGTATTGATCTTGAAAGGGCAGTTCATATTTTATTGTATTGTAAATTTGATAGGAGTCCTCAGCAGGAAGTTATCTTAGCTATACTAAAATCCAAACTATTATACTTCTGAGTATGTAAGAAAATTACTTGCAGATGAAAGTCCTAAAATTACAGTAGGGATAGCTAGATTTGTAACTATGGCTATAAAAACAAGGTTTTTAGTAACAAATCAATGATGGCATTTTAAATACATTATGTAATATTTATTAAATATTTCACTTGTTAAAACTATTTTAAATTATGTGCCTTAATAATTGTTCGTGGCACATTTAAGGCAAATATATATGGTTGTATTATTTCTAGCCCTTCATGGAAAAAGAAAACATCAGACAAAAAAGTGTTGTGAAAAAAAGGTGAAATGACTTTTAAGTGTGTATTGGTTAAGGACTGCAATAATTTAGGGTTTTATTTAGGGTATACATGCAAGAAGGCCCACACATGAATCATGAAAAATTCTGTGAATACCAAACAGGAAAAAATTCCTCTATGCGTTTGATGCAGAATGTAACTGTGAACATGAAGCCATCAATGTGGCCTCCTTTTTCAACTTCCGTATATGCAGTCTGTACAAAACAGCTTCTCCAGGTCCTGCTTTCTTAACATGTAGAAGTGGAGTTACAGCATTCCACAAACTAGCCATGTCTCACCTCCGGTTTTGCCACTGCCCAATAAGTTGTGACATTCCTTTCAAATAGTCCATGTCATGCACAGCAATTGGTTGAGACATGTTCAGTTGCACAGGATGGAAAGCTGCCTGAAGGCATGACAGCCAATCAATAGCAGGGGCCTTTTCCTAAAAGATAGAATTGGACAGATGAAATGATGAAATCTCACCAAGAAGAGACGCAACAAAATGCTCGCTTGGAAATTGAAGGGCATTCTAGTGTGAAGGCCCGGGCAGAAAGGAGGAAAGAAGATACACACAAACACACACACACAAAACATTCCTCAGAAATCAATAAAAAGACAACGCTATGATTTGGTGGAGGAAGCAAGACAAGTGGAAATAGGAAAAAGCATCAACAGCCTGATTTTATGCATGATTTCACATGATCATAAATCTCATTGTTCCCATTTCAGTGCTTATAGTATTGTGCCCTGAATAAAAGTAGAATAAGATTCTGGCTGGATAGACACACTGTTGGTATGTGATTTCCAAGCCTAGTAAATGAGAGAATGGCCTATACCGGAAAGTAATGTATTCTCTTTGAAGAAGTAGCTTCATGGACTTTAGATTTCAACTTCTGTCAGTGAAGATGGTTGCACTGGGTCATCTGCTTACTTCTGGATCCTTATTGCCATAGTTTAGCCTCCTATTCTTTCAACTATGCCATTGAAATGTACTCTGCAGGGGACCATTGTTAAAGATGATCTGGAGGCTTCTATTGTTATTACAATAGAAAAATTCAGTGAATCATTGGTATTTCAAATTACCTTTGTGCATTAATTTTAGATCACCTTTAAAAACTAATAGATCCTTTTAAATCAAGAAGAATTTCAAGTCTTCTTGACACTAAAAGGTCATTTCACTATCTAGAATATCCTGGTTTTTTTTTTAATTTTCCAAAACTGTACTTGGAACTTACGCTTTCCCACTGTTTTAAATTTCTGGAAGTTAGTTAAGACTAAGAACTTCTGTAAAATGTTTGATAGCAGACATACTTTATATCTTAGTATAACTTAAATAGTCCCTTGCTTTATTACCCTTATTTACAAGATTTGTGACTATTTTGTATATATACCATGGATATTTTCCATGTATATATATAGATATTTTGACTTCACAGTAATGTTGCTGCATTACTCTTAATCACTGAGATTTTTTTTATTGACTCAGAATTGTATAAATATCCAAAACACACATTTTCGGAAGACGGTATGCAGACCTGTAGCTTCTTGATGGTAGTGTGGTGAAATAGCATCCTTTTCTCCTGTCGCTTCTTTAGGGGAGTAACAATCTTCTGGAGGTTTGAGATAAAGGAGAATGCCAAGGAAATATAGGTAGAAGTAGAATCTGTATGTCCACCCATCAGCTCTCCTAGCTTCTTCAGATACAAGTAATATGAACGTAAGACCTGCAAAACAAACCTTTCTTTCAAGCAGAGTCAGTAGTTGAACTTGTTTCTGAGCCATTTGCTCAGTTATGAGCTATCCAAAATAATAAAAAAAATTATCCACAGACCTCGCTCTTCTACTACTCATAAATATCTGTGAAGTTTCTATTTAACGAATAGATAAGGATTGACCTGTAAATTGGAATCCATGAAGTAATACATAGGTAATGTATGCATTTTATATATGCATACATCAATGGCACATTTTGGAGACTCCCTAGGGTGGTATGTGTAACACTGCTGTAATGTGACTTGCAATGGTGACCAGTTTGCTCCCAATTCAATGTGTTGGTTATCATGTTTAAAGCCCTTCATGGCAGTGGTGGGATTCAATTTTTTTTACTACTGGTCTGTGGTCATGGCTTGGTGGGCATGGCAGGAGAAGGATACTGTAAAATCTCCAGTCAGAGGTGGTATTTGCCGGTCCTTTGACCTACTCAAAATTTCCGCCACCGGTTCTCCAGAACTGGTCAGAACCTGCTGAATATCACCTCTGCTTCATGGCATGGGACCAGGTTATCTGAGGAATCGCCTTGCGGCAATGGGGTTAGCCCCACTCTATTCACTATGGCAGAGAGGCCTTCTTTGACTCTGTCAGCCAAGGAATTTCAGCTAGTGGAGTCAAAGAGCCTTCTCTGCCATGGGTCTCACTCTCTGGAACGTCTTGCCTCCAGAGGTGAAAACCACCTCCCTGGCCTTCTGGAAGAATTTTAAAACAGCCTCTGCTGATTGGCTTGGGACTCCGATGGGAACACATTCTACTGGAAGTGGTTGATTGAGTGGGAGACAAAAGTCCATCCTTTACTGCCCATGCTCCTGGTTTTTAAACTTTTATTTAAGCAATGTTAATTTCAATGCTTGTAATGCTTTTATATTTATGCTTTTACACCACTGTAAGCCATCCAAGTGGCATACAAATTTAATAAATAGTAAAAGCAATAGTAAAAACATCTTAAAGCAATTTATAATATTATTATAAAATAATAAAACAATAAAATAAAATAACAAAAACAAATCTGTAAAATAATAATTATCTTTTTTATCTTTATTAAAAAAGGAGGTATATGAAAAACAAAAATAAAAGGGACTCTTTTGTCTAGCATTTATTTATGAAGGCCTGGAAAAAGATGTCAGTCTTCCAGAGACTTAAAAGACATAACAGTAGGCACTTCATGAATTTCAAAAGAGAGAGGATTCTAGAGTATAGGTGCCACTACAAAGAAGGTCCATTTGGGAACAACCACAAGACAATACCCTGTTAATCCTATCTCATACAACAGGACCTCCCTAAATGACTTTAGCAACTGACAGATCTGTAATGATGAAGGTATGTTTTCAGCTATTGTGGTCCCAAGTTGTTAAGTACCTTACAAGTAAAAAATGAAAATCTGAACCTGGATTGGTAGCTAACTAGTAGCCAGTGCAAATTATTTGACAGCGGTATAACATATGGATATTCAAGTGCCCCTTGTGGCAACTTGGCTGCCCAATTATGTACCAGCTACAGCTTCCACACCAAGCACAACAGCAGCCCTATATAGAGCATACTAGAAGTCTAAATATTTCAAGATATTTCAATAAATATTTCAAGAAATATCTCATCCATTTCAAGAATGACCCTGTATTTAGATGTCCTTGCTCAAGAAAGCATATCAACTAAACTTGACAATAAGTTATCTTAAATAGAAATCACATGACTTGTTCTGACCTAGGCTTCACAAAATCATAAAACAGATACCTTGTCCTGACAAAACCCCTTTTTATTAGGTGAATGTGAATTTCTAGCATTCACATCCAGCAAAGTCCTGGCAAACAGTCTTTCAGGGTGAGTTGCAATCACAGACCTTATCAGACTTGCAGAGTTGCCAGGCCGATAGCTTCCAAGCGCAACGCTGTACAAGGAAATCATTGGCAAGGAGTCTCTGTGAGTCACGAACTCAGATAAGCAAATCTTCACGCTAATTAAATGAACTAATTGTCTCCTGCAAACATCACTCCCCTTTCACTCCTATTTATTCCCTATGGGAGGGGCCATTCACGGTCCACCTGTGCCTTTGCTTCCTAGTTGACCCCTGTTCCTTAATTGTTCCCTTCTCCTGACAGTTCTGCCCATGCCATGCACACATCAGAAACAGGCTCCAGCTGTTTCCCCACTGATCTCTGACTTGGAAGGTATTGATAACCGTTAACAGCTCTGGCCCCACCTCTGCCTCTGACATCAGAGTCTTCCCCAGATTCTAGGACTGGCCCATGTTCCTCCCCAACCTCCTCACTGTCTGAGTCTGCCAGCAGCTCCGCTGGCCGCTGGTGAGCCACAACATGGCTATCAAAGACAAGGGATGTCTTTTGGAATCATCTGCTAAAAACAACTTCACTTTGCCAGGATTCAATCTAACAATTTAATTCATCTAGCCATGCTATCACTACATCCAGACAGAGACTCTCTGGATTCAGATTCTATGGAATTGTAAGCCTTAGTGTCATTTGCATAATGAAAATACCAGAGCCAACATTTATGACATCCACAGTTTCATACAAATGATAGATAGGATTGGAATAAAATGTCTATAGAGATTTTCAGTCAACCAGGTCATGGTTGTCCAAAAGATGTTTTTTGAAAAGACAACTGGACTTTGGTTTTCCTTGAAGACGTTTTGCTTCTCATCCAAGAAGCTTCTTGACTTCTGACTGAATGGTGGAGGATGGAATATAGATCCTTCCATCCACCACGATTCAGTCAGAGGAAGCTTCTTGGATGAGAAGCGAAATGTCTTCAAGGAAAAGCAGTCTAGTTGCCTTTTGAAAAAGCATCTTTGGGATGGGAATAAAATACTATTTACAAGATCCCACAACACAACTTTTGGAGAGCATAGGCCCAGTCAGCAATTGCTATTTTCTGAAATGATCACTGAATAAGGTAATATGGTCAAGTGAGCAAGATGTCTTATCATAGCTATAGGCATCAGGAGATACAATGTACAGTTCAGTAGATTTGAAATCAAAACTGTGTTCATATCAGCATGAAGATGAGCAATTTTGTCCTGAGTGCCTACGAAATCTGCCAAGCAAGTAATTGAAAGTTGTAAATTTAATTTATCTGAGGCAATGACAATAAATTCTTTAATAATAATAAACCCACTTTTAAAAGATCTGCCGAACGACTCTTTAAAGATGTGAAGAAGTCTTCTTTACAACTTTTTATGCCACCCAACAAGCAGGACTGTTTGCACTAACACGTGTCCTGTGAATTCCATTGTAAATATCAGACCACTTAGACTTTAGTTGTCTCCTCATCTGCTCCATGGTCAGAGATTTCAGGAGAACTAGGGAGAGCGTTTTTATCTACAATGCTGAATAAAACTGTTTAGAGCTATTGTCTCAGTTGTCTTTTGTTTTCCCGTTGTACAGTATGTATCAAAAAAATTCAAAGCAGTTCAATATACCTTTGTCCTAAACAGTGGATTGAAACAAGATTATTAACTCTGGCTTCTGCAAAACCACCAGAGCAGCCAAGAATCCCTTAGATTCCATCAGTTGTCAAAGGTGGATGCCCTTAATGAGCCCCTTTACTTTTTTTTAATGGGGAATGAAGTTCTGGGCATCAAGTTGAAATAACTATTATCTTTTCCTCCAGTATCAAATTCATTCTACCCATATCCCACGCCAGAATTAATGTGAGAGCATGCCCTATCCTATGCTAAGATAGTTTAATGTCATAGTTTTGTCTAGTTATAGTTTTAGAATGATTCACAGTTAACATGGAAGGCATAAAGTTTCAGCTTCAGCATGAATGTTCAATGTTTTGTAGGATTATTATCCTGGAGTTCTTTAATAGCACACTTCAGATCATCTCAGTTAGTTCCCTCAGGAAGGCTATTAGGATCGATAAACCAAGTTTCTTCAAAGTGTCCCACTGATTCAATGACATATGAAGACCATAATATATTTTGATTTGGACAAATTATCTGGTGATTAAGGTGATTACAATGGAGATTTCCAATTCCCACAATGAGTTGATGCCACTTTAAAAACACAGACAAGCAATATCATCCATTTAAATTTCTCACGACAATAGAGTAACATACATCAAAGGTGAATGAGACCTTGTGATCCCTCTCACAATATATTCTCAGTTTCACACAACAAGCACAAGACAGAGACTGACTTGAGAAATAACTAAAGCAGAAACAATAAATTAATCATTTAACACAGCTTACCTGGGGATAATTCACATTTCTTTTAAAATGGTATTCTAATGGCAACTCAAATTCTGGATGGTCAATCTGAAAAAAGAACACAAGGATAGATAGTAATACCAGCTACATTATAAACAGGGAAACAATAATCGAAGAGTAATTGTAAGCAAAAGAAAGGAAAGAAGGAAAAAGGGAAGAAAGGGAGGGAGGGAGGAAGGGAAGTGTTGAGAGAATAGTGACCTGCAAAATTGCTGATAAGAAGAGAGCATTGTAAACAGAAGAGTGGGTTTTGTCAAGCTGATATCAGCAATGGCACAAATTTGTGTTAAATTTGCATGTGATGATTTATCAGATATAAGCTGATATAGCAATTTTCAAGGAGGAAAATAATACATTCTGAGTTGTAGCTGTTGATAATAAATCATCTATTCCACCATGGATTTTGTTTGGAACCAATAAGCATTTCCAACTCCACTAGACAGAGCAATGATACAATGCAAGTACTGTATCAGATACAATTTAGCTAATATCTTTCCTTAACTTAAAAAACAACAACTATGTAATCCTCCACAGTCAAAACCACAGCATGAAAATGTATCGAATATTTTGAACAGTGGCAGATGCATTTTTCAGGAGAGATCTCTGCCCTCCCCACCCCAACCCCTCCAAAATTGCACTAAAGAAGCATGTTCACATATCTGTGTAGTAATACATGAAAATATATAAAAAAACAAAAACAAATTGCTTTTTAAAAAGCAAATTTTAATTGATTTTTTCTTTTATATGGGAAAAAATAATCAAACCTGAATCCTGATATAATGGAAAGGAAAGCGATTAATCATAATATGTGTTTTGAGCACTGCATGTTCGTAGCTGCACATAGTCATATTCTGTGTGCCAATCCCATTGTTCTGACTCTGCATAAGGTAACTTCATACAGGAAAATACATATATTTAAATCAAACATTTTAACTGCATTGCCTAAACTTTGCCATCTAGTAGTCCTACCTGGATAATATTGGTGCTTGGATCAGATGAACTGGGTCCCACGTATGCTTTGAAGAATGGAAAAGTGTTGTATTTTTCCATGAGTATCTGAAGAGTTTGGTTAAAATCTGTTTGTTTCCAGGAACCGGTGATATTCCAACCACCAATCTGAACAAAGAAAATTTGATCATTGTTACTGGAGAAAGCTGGAAGACTGGGGAGGAAGGGGGCCTCAGAAGGAGAGGGCCTCAGAGAATGAAATATTTGGGGGAATATTAAAAAGAGGCAGAATATTATATTTCTCCTGAGGAGAAATGGAGAAAACATGTTCTGAAAGGCAACCCCATTCTTTCTGCATAGTAAAACAGCCTCCAGCAGATACCTAAAGCCTTTAAAGAGGGATGGTTTGTGTCCATTAAGAAAGACTGGCCCAATCTATTCACAAACAAGGCTCCTGCTTAAGAAGGACAGGACATAACTTTTAGGACATAATAGGATTAACCCACCACCATTAGAATAGCAAAAGACACAATGCTCACTACATTGCACAACCCCCTGGAGTATTTCAAACACAAAACCCCAAAGCATGTATAAAAGCCCACCTATCCTAACTCCATTATGTCAGCTGTCCCAGAGCTGCATGCTGTTGTTGCTTCTGCTCACAAAGAAAAAAAGAGTCCTTCCTTCCTACCAGCCTCCATTTTATTTCCAGTGCCTTTTTCTTGGCTTGGAACTGGACTGGATTTTTCTCCCAGCATTACTGAGGAAAAGGGGTTATAAAATAGCTAAGTATGTATAACTTCTGACTCAGGAAATGCTCAGTTCAAATTTGATTTCAGAAACGGACTCAACTAAGACTCCTTTTAATGTAAATGAAATAATAATAATAATAATAATAATAATAATAATAACAACAACAACAACAACAACAACAACAACAACAACCATATGTAAGGACAGGTTTCGTTCTTTTTTTCTCTTATTTGCAATCCTGATAAATGTCCTGCTTACACTGTCCTTAGCTTAAAACAGTAATGGATTACCCTCAGGAAAAGAGAGAGGCAATGCTGCCTTGGAAACAATTATACAAGATAAACATGAGCCCACAATTGTTTTAATAATCAAAGGAAGGAAGGAAGGAAGGAAGGAGCTAATGGGTCAAGCAATTAAAAATGGCAGGCAGGAAGTTTGTACTTTCAGACTTGCAAGATTCTAATAATGTAGCCTTAAACTAAAGTAGATTTAGCTTATGTAGTTGAATTCCCCAGTCATGTCCTCATTAAAATGCAAAAATTTGATTCCCTCACCCCAAACAAGAGCATTAGGATTTCTGTCAAGATTGGATTATGGGAAGAAAGAGTTTGATTTTTTTTCTGCCACAGCATTATCGTTTCAGTCCACTATTATTTGAACTTATTGATGGACTTATAGTGTGGTCCTGCCTCAGATGATGAACCCCAACAGCACAATTTTCCTGTTCCCTCCTTTTTAAACACATTTCTTGTAATTATATAGTACCTTTTCTGTGTTCTGCACAGTAGTGGATTTTTAAGCTGTGCAGATGCAGATAGATAAACTCAACAAGACATCCATAACAAAGTACATTTATTGGTTCATCAGGTATCTTCATAATTCATATTTGTGATGAAGTTCTTCATTAATGACCAATCCTTTGTATATCTGCCTTGTAGTAAAAGATGGTTATCTCCGAACCCATCTCGTAATGATAGAAAGCAGCTGCCATGAGTTAGGGAGTTCAGGCAAAGTGAGTAAAATTCCCCCAACCCATCGAGGGTCAAATTAGTGATCAATCGGGATTACAGATGTGGCCATGTGACATGAACTACATTTCCCAAGATACCTTTAACTACATTTACAGATGTGGTAAGACCACACCTAGAGTACTGCATCCAGTTTTGGTCACCACATTATAAAAAAGATGTTGAGACTCTAGAAAAAGTACAGAGAAGAGCAACCAGGATGATTAGGGGGCTGGAGGCTAAAACATACAAGGAACGGTTGCAGGAACTAGGCTTGGCTAGTCTAGTAAAGAGAAGGACCCAGGGAGACATGATATCAGTCTTCCAATATTTGAGGGGCTGCCACAGAAAGGAAGAGGTCAAGCTATTTTCTAAAGCTCCTGTAGGCCAGACAAGGAATAATGGATAGAAACTGAACAAGGAGAGATTTAAGCTGGAAACAAGGAGAAACTTTCTGAAAATGAGAACAATCAACCAAGGAACAGCCTGCCTTCAGAAGTTGTGGGGGCGCCATCAGTTGAGACTTTCAAGAAGAGATTGGACTGCCATTTGTCAGAAATGGTGTAGGGTGTCCCGCTTGGGCGGGGGGTTGGACTAGATGACCTACAAGGTCCCTTCCAACTCCGATTATCTGTATTTACCATGATGCATTCCCTTAAGGGGACAGCTCATAATTCCTAAGTAACTATCCAATTCCCATAGACTGGCTGGACAGCACAGTACCCAATATAGACAGAAGAAGCAGTGAATAAACAGAATTATAAAGTGAAAATGCTGGCATCTATATACACCACCTAATATCATGGAGGAGGTAATAAGACTTATCTGAAGTAATTTTTGCCCATCTAAAAATGGAAAATTTATCAAAATGAATCATGGCCTTGATAAAATGCTACAGCATTCCATGTGTCCTTCACTCACTTTACCTCAGTAATCTTCGCAAAGAAACCTTCTAAGGGTGGAGGGGTGGGGGGTGGGACATTACTGAGGGAAATATAAGTAAAAATAAATTGACACGTTACCCATAATAACTCTCAAAGCAACAGGATTTTTTAATCCCCAATATTTTTACCAAGTACTCCATAGATATTTGAAAGTCTGAATCTGTATTTCAAAGACCTTGAATAATTGTTTGTTTGATTAAGCTCTACCAAGTAAGTGTCGAATCTTAGTAATCATACATATATAAATTTCCTCCAGGATGATCAGTCCCCAGGCTGGCCCTTCAGGTTTTCAGGGATGAACTCATTTTCCACTGTAATTGAATCCTCCCACTTCGCTGCTGGCAACTTCTGTTTCTTCCAAGTGAAAACTCTGGTTTCATTTCTGCTGTGATTCATTTGTTTGTTTTCTTAGCTACCACTAATATTATCAAGGGTCTTCTCCAGCAACCATGTTCAAAGTCATCAATATTCTTTCTACCCTGTTTCTTCCACAGAGGGTCACAAGGAAAGCTATTTCATACACGTCGTGGCATCTAAATATCTTTAACGCCTCCACATTGGATGCTAGCCTGAAAAATGTCTTGATTGCTATATCTTTACTCTGATATTGGATTCTCATTTCAATGTCTTGATAATCAGTTTTAAAGCTGTTTGCAGGACATGTTAATATCCATTTCATTTTCTTTTACATTTAATCATAGTCTCATGTTTTTTCACTGTGCTTCTTGACTTTTGTTATTAGAGCTTACAGATCATTTGCATTTTCAGCTATCTGTATTCAAAAATAACAGAATATCAGAGTTGGAAGGGAACTAAGAGGTTTTCTAGTCCAACCCCCTGCTCAAGCAGGAGACCCTATACCTGTGAAGGAGAACCTATGGCACACGTGCCAGAAGTGGCATGCAGAGCCATCTCTCTGGGCATGCCAGCCATCGCCAGTTGCTCTTCCAGGTTCTAGCACATGCCAGCCAGCTGGTCTTTGCATGTGTGGGGTGCCGGAAAACAGAAGAGCGTTAGAAATCAGCTGGCCAGCTGGTCTTCATGTACATTAGAAGCCAGAAGACCAGGTGGCCAGTGCACATGTGCATTCCAGGAGCTGCTCTTCTGGTTTTCGGCACGTGCACACACTCCCATTTCGGCATTCAGTGCCGAAAAGGTTAACTACCACTGGCCTATACCATTTCAGACAAGTTGTTTTCTAATATCTTCTTTAAAACCTCCAGTGGTGGAGTACCCACAACTTCTGAAGGCAAGTTGGTCCACTGATTAATTGTTCTTTCAGGAGATTTCTCCTTATTTCTAGGTTAATCCTCTCCTTGATTTGTTTCCATACATTGCTTTTTGTTCTTCCTTCAGATGCTTTGGAAAATAGGTTGAACCCCCCCCCCCCCCGCCCCTTTCATAACTATGGAATATTCCACAGCTTCTCGTGCCTGGCAAGGTGAATGTTTTTCTATGATCAGTGAAGCACACATGTTGATTTTTTTTCCCCCTCTTTGGCTTTCTTTTCTCTTCATTATGCTCCAACAATAATAATCTCATGGTCCTAGGCCTTTTTAAAAACTAGTTTGAACTTCTGGCATCTCCTTTTCCATGTAAGGAAACAAATATAAGGAAATGATTGTTTCCATAGAAGGAAATAAATCTGTGTTGAATGATCATAAGTGTTATTTTGCTATTATGTGGAATTAAGGCTATTGTGTAATATTTTTCATACTCTGTTAAGGTTTTTTTTTTTTTTTGGTTACTGGTATGTAGACTGACTCTTTTCAATCTGTTGCACAATGTAAGTTCTCCAGATTTGTTGACATAGTTTCATTGGAACTTTTACTGATTCTTCTTCTGTTGCGTGTTATATTTCTATAGTTATTCCATAAGTTCTTATATTTTCCCAACTAGGTGATCACAAGAATGCCGATCTAACTTCATCTGCTAGTACTAGGGATTTTTGTAAAACAAGAAATCATTTCTAAAGTATCAATTACTTGGTGTCCTCCCGCATACCATTTCAAAATTGGAAACCCTTTCGGACTTCAGAGATCTTTTGCAAAACTGTTCCTGTTTTTCCACTGTTGTTTCCATGTCCCACATTCTTACAGATGTCATATTATTGCTTCTTGTCTCTTCTAGAAGATCTGAAGAGATATTTGTCTTTCATGACTTTAGCTTCTCTTCCCTTCTTTGCAATTTTCTTTGTTCTGACATCTAGTTTGGTTTCTTTTCACATCTGTACTTAACATTTTGTTTGATTTCATTCCATCATTCCTTCATTTCTCTATTAATGAGGTTTGGATTTCAAAGTGATCCTTGATGTACTCATTGAAAATGGAGGCTATATGCTCATTTACTAGAAATTAGTTGGCTTTGTTCTGATTTATTTTGACTTGTAACTTGTATATTAACTGTTTCATATTTTTGTTGATACAGCTGAGTTTTTCTACTTTTTTGTACCAATTATAAAGTTGATTTGAGTTCTGTATACTCCATCTTGTGTTGTCAATGTACACGGGTGTCATGCATAGGCTGTTTGAATAATATATTAGCAATGAAGAAATCACTGGATTGGCAGAAACTGGTAAGTAATTCTCCTGCTTAATTTCTGTTTTCAAAACCATACAAACCAAACAAAATTTTCTCCTCTAAGATCTCTTGCATGTTTCTGCTCTTTAAAGTTTTAGTCACTCATTTGCTTAGTCCACCCCAGTTTTCCTTCCCTAGAATATTTAATCTATTTCCTTTGTTGTTACCAGAAAACCATTTCTAAGTTCTGTCCTGCATTATTCCTTCTGCCTTTCTTGTTCTTGTTACTCCCTTTCAATTTGCGTCTTTGTTTGATTCTCTTCCCATAGGAAAGTTGCTTCCATTCCTGACTCCTGTTGTAATACACCTTTATTTAATCTTATAATTTTGTCTTATCTTCTGAACAGCTGTAGTCCCTTGCTCACTCAACTGCAATATTTCTTCCATTAGTGCCATTTGCTTGAACTAGTTGTAATCACATCTCCCACTTTTTACAAAACACAGCAGCAAAGTCAGGGCCATTCACCTTCATTTCTCCATGAATACAAAAATATTTTATTTCTATTTGTTACCTTCTCAAATGTCAAATGTATCGTTAATCCATGTGAATTCCACTGCAAACTCCTGTTGGTTTTCCCTGTTCACTTGATCAATGGCTTATAGCTATATTGGTGCCCAGAAAGTAATATAAAAATGAAGGAGAAGTTCCTATGGGATGATTCATATATGCATTTTCCCTAGCTGAGATTGTATTATTTGAAGAATGGGAGCTGAATATAGAAGTTATGATGACTTTTCTGGGGGTGGGGTGGGATATTGCCTTTAAGAAACGATGAAAACTCAGTAGTATTGGAGCTGTGATTGGCCTATTAATAGTAATAAACAAACCTTTAAGAAAGGTTTAGAAAAATAGATCTGGAAAGAACTGTATGTCCAAGGCTACATCATCATAGTAATATGTCCAACAGCTAGCCATAAAAGAAAACAAATAATAGAAGTGACATAATGAGCAGAAAAGCCCACATCACATAAGAAAATATTGTCACTAAATCACTGTGTTCAAGAGGGATTCTTCTTTCACCTCGATGGAAAGTATTATTTTATTCATACTCAATTTTTATGAGTCAACAGATTAAAGTGGGTTGTTCAAAGTGTCAAAACACACACACAAATACTATTTGAAGCCAACTTCACAATATGCAAGTATATACAAGTATATACGTAAGTATGCAAGTATTTTCTTTGAGCTACAGGAACAAGGTACCCTGAGCAGAAAAATGGCAAGGTATGAAGCTGCTGTCATTCAACTCCTCTTCCTACAGCAACTTTCTTTCCAATTCAAAATGTGTTTGAATGAACCCAGGGACAAGGGAGGTATGGGTTTATCCTTAACTAGAAATATAGGCTTACCAACTTTTCATCAACCTTGCAAGTTAGTCCAGACAAGAAATGCACCCAGATGAACTAATTCTACTTTGTTGTAAGGTTATGCTAACAGAATCTTACCAGTGTGAAAGTACATTTCTCCCCCATTGCCATTCAGTCCGAAAAATTAGAGAGGATCCAGGGGTGGGATTCTACCAGTTCGGCCCAGTTTGGGTGAACCAATAGCTCCAAGGATCAGCTGTGAGCAAACCGGTTTGCTCCGATGATCAGCTGTTGGGCCCACCCACCCTGGCTGTATTCTGTGCTTTATATCCTGGTTTTCAAGGTCAGCTGATTTACGCAGTACAGCGGATTGCTGCACGTCAGTTGTTTAACACACAGAGTTTGCTGGAGAAGGTCAGTACCAAATGCACGCATGCTCACCAAACCAGTTGTTACATTGGTTGAATCTCACCCCTAGGAGGATTCCTTCTGAGATGTTTGCAATACCCACTTTCCTGCTCTGGGCTAATCTGCCCCTTATCCAACTATTTCCCTGGCTTTGGCTCTTCTTCCTGTCTCTCAAGGTCATTTCCACATATCATTACATATTTGAACTTAAATCTTTCAAATTGAGTACATTTTAGAAATGATAGATTGCAGCCACTAAGCTCTGAGAGATGACATTCTAAAAAGGAGGAAACTATCAACCTAAGAATAGCAAATAAGGAAGAAATAATGGCAATGAGAAATAAATGTAAGTAGATACAGAATTTAAGAAGCAACAGAAAATAAGGGCAGAAATATAGGCTGGGCAGGATAGAATCTTTATATTTTGTAGATATATGTCAATAAGGAATAGGAACACGATAACCAACCATCAATTGTTTGAATTTCTGTTCAATGCTAATATGAAGAAGATGGAACTTATAATAGAATACATCTATGCCTGGGCAAAAGCAGACATCCACCTTAATGTACAGTGATCACCTCATTTATGAGCTTCTTCAAAGGCTCAGCACCTTGAGCTTCAATCTGATCCGTATTCATGCAAGAGGTATAAAACCGCACAGCTTTCTCCTTTGCTGAGCCATTAGTCGCAAGTTGTGGCTCCTCTGAACAAGAGAAAGAATTAAAATCAACAAGATCATTGGGAGATTATTTTTTGAAAAATGTGACACAACCCAAATTCCTTTCAACATGACAAGCTATAAAATGCATAGTGAAACACAGCTAAAATTCTGCCATTCCAATAATGGTGCTTTCTATTTCGATATGTGCTTCTTCAGCAATTTAATTTATTTTTAATCAACTTTAAGAGGTGGTATTTGAAAAGAAGAATCTGAGTGAAACCAATACATTGGTTTGGTTGGCTGGCAGAAATAACCCTTAATTTAAATCATGCTGTTTAAATTGTATTCAGTTTATTAAATCAAACCATATTAAGGTTATATCCATGAGTTCAACAGAAAACAGATGAGCATCTCCACATGCTTTTGCATTCATATGTCTGCTTTACTGCATTAGGACATAATGTACAATACTTTTATCCAACCATTTCCTATAGATGTGTTAGATTCCCATTTGCTTTTATTGGTCGGGGAATGGAGGTAATGACCCTTTCTCCAGCCATGGAAGGGGATCCATCTATAGTATATTTCCACATTCAGAAATGTAAGATGGCTTGATATTCAAGCCAGAAAAAAATGAGTCAATTAAAATTAAGGCTGTTATGTATTGTATATAGTGTATAGTTGTCAGTTGAAGTTCTCATTCTGGTCCTCTGTTGGAGCAGGAAAATACTCTCTCCTGATTGGTTGTTTGGCTGAACAGTTTCCTATAAAAGGAGCTGTGTCAGCCAGGGAGTTCAGTTGCCTCACAGGCAGTGTTGAATAAAGAGCTGTTAGAAATCACTCTGACCTCGCCTCCATTCTTCGCTCAGAACTTAACAAAGGCCATGGGGTATTTCAGGTTTCTTTTTCCTGAGGCTACTTATTTCAGTGGAATAAATAAATAAAATTAGGGGAAAAAAATAGAGCAAAGAAGGACCCAGCAAGAAAGAAAAATGCATGTGCGAAGAAGCACCATGAAGATACTATGGCTGCAGAAATCAAAGTTTGGTCATTGAATTAATTTGGTTCCATTGTGTTTACATAATTATCTTTCTTTTGAATATGGCTAAATATGACACATTGGATTCTACAAAAAGACCTCCAGAAATGTTATCTCATTATATGATGCTTTTACAGATGAAACTTTTGTATTAATTGGTAAGTTGATATGATACCATAGAGAAATGCAGTTGCTCTGGGACTTATTAAGTAGCATACTTCTGGGAGGAAAAGTATCTGGCTTGATTTAAAAACTCACATGAGGGACCTATTTTGAGTTGTGATTGTCCCTGTTCTCTCTGAGGGGTCCTTGGTGCTCTCTGAGCTTGGTTGTTTTCTTGCAAGTGTTTCATTATTCAAACTAGGTAACATCCTCAGTTTGGGTAATGAAACATCTACAAGAAAACAACCAATGCTCAGAGAGCATTATTTCAACCCTGAACTACAAATATTCTTCTTTATCAGTCTGTTCTCTTTGCATTCAAAAAGAGTATCAAATTGACTTTTTTGAATTTGGCCTTTGGAATACTTTATGTTTTATTGGAGATCTTTTCCCATTTGAAAGTTCTCTTTTTGATTGTATTGAAATTGTTTTTTTTTTAAACTTAGATTAGATGGCTATCATTTTTCTTCAGCGGAAAGGAGCAAGAGAAACAGAAGCAGCAAAGATGGTAAATATGTAGAACTGAGAAAGGAAAACTCAAGAAAAAATTAGGTGAAGAGAGGAGAATATATGTTTCTTATAGGTAGGTAACTGGAAGAAATGATATATGGAAACTATGGGTTACTAGGGTCATTACAAATGGCTAACGAGAGACAGTACACTGCAAGGGGTTTCAGACCTGTTCATTCCACAGAACCTATTCATTAAAATCATGATCATCTTCATAATCACCATCCCAGAATCCCACGAGGACAAACTAGTGATAAAATTTGAGTGAATTTTTTTGTTGGTTGAATCTCTAACAGAACCCAATCACCTTTTTTTAACAGTCAAAAGAAAGAATATAACCCAGCAAGCAGTGGATGAATAAATGAATCATGCTTTGTGCATCAAACTTAACAACACTTGATGAAATAACGTAATCAAAAAGAAATCTCTAAAATTATGGTTTCACAGTCGAATATGACTAAGAATAAACCAAGATTTAAAGAATAAATAATAGATTCAAAAGAATAAACAGATTTAAACGGAATGCTTATAGAAAAGGATAGCTAAAAGTTCTTCTTACCCCTCCTTGGATATATTTAGAAAAAAAATTCGTTATATCAAAAGAATAGGAAATGTTATCTAGTGATACTTTTGCCAAATAAAAAATTACCATCTGAATTGCTTTTAAAATTGTTCTGTTGCAGGTTGTTATACCTGCAATTGGGCATATATGCAGTGGTGGTTGCAACCAGTTTGCTTTGCGAGCGCATGCAGCATTCAAAAAACACCCATTTTAAGCTTAAAAACTTATCTTCCATATCAGCACTGGTGAATAAAACAGCTGAGGCACGGCAATCTGCTGTGCTGCATGACTCAACTGAGCTAAAAAACCAAGGAAATATAGAGCAGGGAAGGGCAGGGGTGGGTGGGCAGGGTCAACTGCTCACCAGAACTACCGGTTCAGTAGAACTGGTGCAAACCGGTAGCAGCCCTGTTACACACTATATGTTCATTAATGCTATGACTACTGGCAGTCCTATTTAGAATATGTTCCGGGTCCTTGTGCCCCAGCCTCACCCCCGATATCTGCATAGGATTCTGACCATAGAAGTAACAATATGTATTGACCCTTTACCTAAAAGTTTCTTCATGATGAGATGATTTTCTTCCAAAAGTACATCAAACACATTCACTGAGGGTATATCAATGTCCAATGTGTTATTAGCCTCCCAGTTGCCACATGCATAATTGAAGAAGTCTTCACAAGGATCAATAGTGCCATTCTGAGCCTCCTGCAGTCTAGCCAGGAGCACAAGGCAGGATGCAGTAGTGCAGCTTTCTGGAAAAACATGGGAGGAGGAATTGTAAATTATCTTGCCTTTACTGAAAAGTATGTTTTATACTATAACCGCAGGAAAACTCATAGCATATATACATTTCTTTGTACAACTTTCTACATCAGGAAAAATAAAATTCCTTAGAGCACATAAGAGCCAGCTTAAAATCAGTGCCTGCAAGGCAGAACAGAGTTGATTTCTTGGTCTAGAATCTTAGATAAAGGAGGGGGAGGGGGAGAGAGAGGAAATGAAATTAAGATTGTGTTGAAATTCTTCCCTGCCTTCTAGGGTGTAATCTCTGGAGTGTGGGGTGGGGTGGGGAGGGTGGAAACTACTGAAGTATTCCATAAGGAGCAATTTGATTAATGGATGTTTTCCGTGTAATTTTTCCTTTGAATATTTTTGTTCTTTCTAGCTAAGTTCCACGTTGATCAGAAAAACGTAACTTATTCCCTTGGAATGTGCTTCCCAGAATTCCTTGAAAGTCACATGACATAAATCAGGCTAGATTACCTACCAATATATCTTACACCGTATCATGAATGGTAATATAAATGACTAAGCACAATCTACAATAGAATTTGCTATCATCTGTCTACTGCCTCCTCAAGGTCTTTCTTATATATTTTGGCCATGTATATTTAAGCTTCAGTAATGTTGTTTGGTTGATGAAGCATCAGAGAAATGGTAACTTCTAAAAGGTAGTAACAAAACTGAATATCTAGAGTTACACCAAGGAGAAATATTTACACTGAATCAGTGGTGAAATTCAATTTTTTTTACTACCGGTTCTGTGGGCGTGGCTTATTTGGTGGGCGTGGCTTGTGGTCATGTGACCAGGTGGGCATGGCCAACTCAATGTCACTCATATCAAGGGGTGCCTCACCTGGCCCCTCCCCTCCCAGCCATTCCTTGTCACCCAGCCTCAACTTAACTATAGTTCTCTAAAAATGTTGTTTACCTTTTTTGACTTTATTATCTGCATACTATAGATGTACTTTCATGGACCACTGAAAGGAGGAAATGCCTCACATGCTTTACTCAAGAGTGTGATAGGCAACAGGCTTTTAAGGGGCTGTCACAAAGAAAGGGGGACAATGTATTTTCCAAAGAAGCAGAAGGCAAACAAGAAGCAATGGATGGAAACTGAACAGAGAGAAGCAACCTAAAAGTAAGGAGAAACTTCCTAACAGTGAGAACAATTAACCAATGGAACTGCTTATTTCCAGAAGTTCTGCGTGCTCAATCACTGGAAGTTTTTAAGAAAAGACTGGACAGCCATTTCTCTGAAATGGTATAGGGTTCACCCCAAGGTCCCTTCTAAGTATTATTCTGACACCTTTCCCAGGATTTCTACTCAGAGTTTGGCATCCTCAGTTTTCTTGCCTGAGCTGGGGGTTGGACTAGAAGACCTCCAAGGTCCCTTTCAACATTTGTTAAACACATGTGTATTTTATGCTCTGGACTATTGACACTGAATGCATGCAAACCCTGAAAAATATGTGGTAGCCCTGGGCAAAAGAAAGGCAGAAAAATCACTCTAGGTATAGGGACAGTGTAAAATATTAACATATGATAAATAATGGAACAATTAAAAATAATAGCACAGAGTTTTATCTCTCTCTCTCTCTTCCTATTTTTTTTCTTTCTTTCTCTATCTCCCCCCCCCCCCCACTCTCTCTCTCATACATACACACGCACACAGAGCACTTAACAGACAAGCATTTTGGAAGCAACTCCTTTAAATTTCTTCAAGGCTTGAGTGGATTCCCCCACCCCCTCTGTCAGACCGTACTCCTTCTCACTCCAGCACTTTAACTCACAAGGGGAAAGCGATACTTGCAGCGTCCATGGGAAATCCTTGGAGAAGTTTTTAAAAGACCTGCTTCCAAAATGCATTTATTTTATGTTGCAAAAGTGCTCCAAGGCTCAATTCACCCCCACCCCCTCTGTCAGACTGCACTGTTTCTCACTCCCCACACTTTAACTCACACGGGAGAAGCGATACTTGCAGCGTCCATGCCTTTCTTCCTTTTCCCCGGGGAGAAAGAGGACGTGGGGAAGGGAGAGCGATCGCAAGTGAGCGACCGGGCGATTGGGTTGGGGGCGTGGCCAGCCAGGGATTGCCACCGGTTCGGTGACCCATGGCAAATAACCGCTACCGGTTCGCCCAAATAGGTGAATAGCACCTCTGCACTGAATACTTCATGAATATTTTAAGATATGCTGATGCTATGTTTTAGTATGACAATGCATTGTACAATAGTGGACTGTATTTTTAAAATTCAGTCTGTGCCCATTGCAGAGAGTCTGGGTGTAGGAATGAGGTTCCTGTGGCTAAACCTATTGAACCTTAGTGTCAAACTGTGTGAGCTGAGAGTACATCACTGATGTTCTCTTGCAGATACGTAGAGTATCACAGGAAAATATGACTAATTGTGTATTAAGTGCTTTCTACAAATGTATGTTGATATTAATGCTACCTTCACTGAGAAACTATGATAAATGGGAGGATCTTGGTATTTTCAAGAAGCAGTTTAAACATTAAGATATAAAAGTTTTCTGGGAGTTTTCTGGGAGTGTGGAAGTTGATAAGATTTCCGTAACACAATAATCACACTTGGCAAAAATATCTGCAACTTTTCTCACAATTCTGTGATCTTGGTTAGTAAAGATCTTTATTTATACAAATTATTATTCTAGTAAGTAAATATCAAAGCTCCTGATTCCCTCATTTTCCTTCTCATGCTGTCATGCTGCTCTGAATAATAGCCCAAAGGAAAGCTTATTTCAGTTTTTTGCTAACATTTCATCTATCAATCACTTCTAGAATCCCAACAAACTTCTGAACAGAATTATGCGTAGGATTACAATTTCCATACTTTTTAGTCATCATAACCACCCTAAAGCAACTTTATGAAGCAACTTCATATTTAGTTAAGCATTATTTTGTTCCCTCAATCTGACAAAATGGTTTCATCACTCATTTTTATGGTTAACCTGGAGAGAACTAATGATAAGGGAGAGTTTTCAAATGAGCAAACATGGAATAAGTAATAAAAAAGGAAAGCTCTAATACCTAGATCACATTTAATGATGGAGAAGAGAATGACTAACACAAGACCAATGACAGCAGCGAAGAGTAGAACATAAAGGAACAGGGATTTTCTTTGATGACATCTTCGTACAGTCCTTCTTGGGCCTTCATCACTCTGGAATCAGAGAAGCACAGCAACAAGTTATTTCCTTGGGTAGACAGGACCACAATAATTCTTACCCAGGAACCCAAATCAGGAGAAGTTTGAAGTCAGTTGAAAATCAGGTAACAAGTAGATGTGTCACAGATGATGAATGAATGAATAAATGGAGGAGGCCAAGAGTAGTAGTTCAGCATGAATTCTCTACACTCAAATATAAGAAGGGCAGTTATATAATAATCCTTCATTGAATACTATTTTCTATTCTAAAATATGATTGAATGGTTTAAAAACAATCATATTGCACTGATATTTAACATAACCAATATCAAGATTAACAAAAATGGCGAATATTTCACTGAATCATACAATTAGTATTTTCTATGAATACTTCAGATTTTCTAAGCAGAATCACTTCTTTTTTATTTGTGTGAATCTTATATGAATAGCAATATTCAGGACTTAGAATGTCAATTTTTAATTAAATGTGGCCTCTTATTTTTATCATTTTTCAGTGTTTGGGAACTCATTGCTTGTAGTGATGCCATTACAATATGACTGTATAACTAAACTGTCTAATTCATATTCTCTTTACAATGGTCCTTATGCAGGAGTGGGCTACTGTGCAGTTCAGAGAACCCCCAAATCCCACTCCTGGCTGACCCCGCCCACCCCACCCCTCCCAGGAATCCCCACGTAGCCCATTTTGGATGCAGGTAAGTGCAGAGTGCACATGGATGCTAGGGGAGGTCGAAAAATGGCCCTTCTGCAAGTTTGGGAAGGCTGGAAACAGGCCCATTTCCAGAGAAGCCTCCAGAGTCCGGGGAGGCCATTTTCACCCTCCCAGAGGCTTGAGGAAAACCTCCAGAGTCCAGGAAGGGCAAAAATGCCCCCTCCCTTGCTGTGGTGCAGGAAACTGACTAGGTCCCACCCACCCAGCAACCAAGCAGAGAACCCGTTGCTAAATTTTTTGAAGCCGACCCCTGTCCTTATGAGTCCATTTAGTTCACAAAGATGATCTTTTATTCTGGAAAGTTGAATTAGTGGTGGGATGATAGTATAAGTTTTTAAAGCAAATTGTAAACATTGTACAACTCTAACATACCAAATTTATCAACAAATGGGATATATTCTAAGGTCTTCAAAACTGGGGTTATTTAATGTGAAATGAAATGTTTTGGGTAAATAGGAGCATGGGTGGAAATAGAAATGGAAGTAAACAAATGCCAGAATGAAACAGTTTGGGTATGATGTAATGTAGTAAGTCAACAGAACTAAAGTGTCATAATATGGATAGAGATAATGGGAAATACATTTGAGGATTTTTAAATTCCTTTTCTTTTCTTTTTTTTAACTCTTTCGTACACTTCCTGTTCTCTAAAAATTGGATGATAGGGAACCTTACAAGCTCATACTTGAGCACTTAAAAATTAATACAACCTTGGGCATCACATGATATAGTCAGCAGCTACATGCACACCTGTCATATCAAATACTCCAGATGGAATGTGCATAACAACTTTCATAATTAAACTTTCATAACATCACCTCAAATCAATTTGCATATACTACTGAGAGTCTTCATCCATCGATCATTTTTAGAGAAGCAACCCTGTCAAATCTGTTGCCACAAAAGTGACAACCTGTTTTTATTAAAGTGGAGATTACAAAAACATGTGTCATAATCAATAAGTTGATCTCTAAAATGCAACCCACAGCAAGTATTAACACCTGGACAATCAAATTAAGAGAATCAGACTTGGTTGATTTTTAAGTAACTGACTTCCAGGAAACACCAAGGCTGCAAGCTAGACTGGAAAGCAGCTAACCCTGATTTGTGTTGATGGCAGCCTGATGGCTGACCAATTCATGGACACAGGCATGGGAATGGAATGTGAACACCCCCAGAGAGGCGCCAAACTTTAGAACTGTTACCAAAACAGCTACAAATTTGAACCTTATTGGACACTCACAAGATAATCATGGGGAGGGCTTGGTGGAAAGGAAAATTACCTCAGATCTGGGTTTGCTCACACTGTAACCACTTGGCTTTAGTAAAAATATGTCTTTCACTTCAAATGGAGTCAACGGTCTTACTTTCCTAAATGCTCAAGCTGGGGTACATCTTACAGGGAAGTCCAATCATCATCATCATTATCATCATCATCATCATCTCAGAAGGCAAACCAAACAGGTTTATGAAGTTATCAAATATTGTACTCTCCTTTAAAAAGGGTATTATTGATGTACCTAATTGCTTTACAGGGCATAGTCCTGAAAATGATTAACTAAACTTTCTATATAAAGTACTGCACACAGTACTCCCATAGTTCTAACAAGAAAACAAAATGGATGTCTCCATGAAATCACTGGCAGATGAGCTTAATTTGGAGACTTGGTTCACTATGAAAAGAAATTAAATGGAAGGCATGCACTTGCAAAGGACCCTGTGTTTTTTAGAGCTACTGCAAATACATCTGTGTTTTTCAACATCAGCAACTTCAAGATTTGTGGAGGTTCTTGGGGTGGAAGTCCACACAACCTGAAATTGCTGGGGTTGAGAAACAGCAGCTTACAGCCAGTGGTGGGCTTCAAATTTTTTAACAACCAGTTCACTGCCCTAATGACTGGATGGGCGGGCGTGACTGGATGGGCATGGCCAGGGGTATGGCCAGTGGATGTGACAGCATTCAGTCTCCTGCAGCACTCTGCCAGTCAAAACGGGGCACGAGGGTTAATTATAAAATGTGGGCTTTGCTTTATGACATCCAGATTCAACAAGCAAGGGGTGTGAACTGCACAGAAAATACATTTTTATTTGGTTATGAAGAAATATCCCCAAAATCAGATATACACTAAATGTAGACTGACTTTTAGCTACACATCTTCCCAGCAAACAGCAAATGTTGAAGCTTCAAGTAAAGAGGATTTATTTTAGGATAAGTAACCAGCATTTGCATGTTGGAGGTTCCTAAAGGAATGCAGGGAAACTGTATTTTAAAGAACATTTGATGGAGGAGTGCAGAGAATAGCCCTTTTCTGCCTGAGGTGATAAAGACATAGCACCAATCAAAACACTATTTGTGAAGCAACTGATCAACACTGACAAGGTAATCCACTGGTATATGAAAATAAGAGCAAACTCCACTCCCTTCTAGTACTGATGATGTTAGCTAGTTTGGTAATGAAACATCTGCAAGAAAACCATCAAGCTCAGAGAGCACCAAGGGCCCCGCAGTTCAACCCTGAGCTATAAATATTCTCTTCTATCAATGAACACCTTTTGGTTAAAGAGACTCAGAGCCTGCCTCATATGAGATGGCTCCCAGTGGATTTCATTCTAAATCTTGGTATCATTTCTATAAATAAGGAATGTAGAATTATAATGGCTGAGTATTTGATCCTTCATACATCAAAAAATACAAAGCTAAGGGATAAACAAATGAAAAACAGATGTGAAAAAAGAAAAGGCTCGGGAAAGAAAAAGAGTGAAAGATTGAATGGACTTCAATCCCCAGAATTCCTCAGGCAGCATAAAGTTCACCCATCTTAAACTTGCCAAGACTGAAACACGCTGATCTACAGATAGGGATTTTTCCATTCCTCTTTTACTGATTCTTACTTACTTATGAGTAATCATAATGCAAAATCCTCACTTCCACCTCATCTTATTCCCTGAATAACCTGCCTTCCAGCTGTGTTCTCCTGTGGATAGGGCAACAAAAGAAGACCATGTGACTTCCAGTTTTAAAAAAGTTCAGTTAGACCTTCCAACTTCTCAGTGGGGTGGGGGGGGGGAGATCGCATGAAGTTGGAAGGTCTGACTGAACTTTTTTAAAAACTGGTGGTCACATGGTCTTCTTTTGGGCTGCAGGGGGTGTCAGCCTCCCAGCTGATCTGCACCGCAGGTTCATTCACTGCCTCCCAGCTGATCAGTGCAGCTCCCAGTCATGCTCCTGCAGCTTACCCACCCTGAATAGCAATCCCAGGGGGTGGGGGGGCACAGAGGGGCATGGGGGTGTGGGAGAAGAGTTCGGGGGGCAGGGCGAGCCAGTGGTGGGATTTGCTGGTTCACCAAACTGTGCAGAATCTTAACAACCGGTTCGCCTCAACCATTGAGAACCGGCTCTAGCCCACCTCTGCTTACGGCATAAGTAGAGGGAAAACAACATGTACACAGATGTGTAGCTAAAGGTCAGTTTACATTTAGTGACTTTGAGGATGTTTCTTCATAACCAAACAAAAGTGTATTTTCTGTGCAGTTCACACCTCTTGCCCACTGAATCTGGATGTCACAAAGCAAAGCCCACATTTTGTAATTAACCCCCATGCCCCGTTTTGACTGGCAGAATGCTGCAGGAGACTGAGTGCTGTTACACATCCTGGCCATGCTCACCCAGCCACACCCATCCAGCCATGCCCACCTCGCCATGCCCACCCAGTCAGTCATTAGGGCAGAGAACCAGTTGTTAAAAAATTTGAAGCCACCACTGCATGTACAGATTAATGAAAGTGCAGCAAAGGATATGCTGGCCCAAATTTGCCAACAACAAACATACCTCACAGTTACCTGTATGAATCACTGCTAGTATAATACGGAGGTCAGAATGAAGTACTTGAATCTTATAGGCCTGACTCCTTTACAGTCTGTCCTACCACATATAATGCCTGTCTTTTTTTAAAAGAATAAAATCAATAATTAAATTATTTTGCCATTTTGGCAATTGTCTCAAACCCATGGTAATTCTTCCAAGTCAGAAACTCAAAGCACTTTCATTAATATTTTGAACTGAAAGGGATAGACTATATGACTTTCAGCATGATTTTCTGCCAAGTTAGATGTAGTGTTTAAGGTGTTGGCTTAGAAACCAGGACACTATGAGGTCTAGTCCTTCCCTAGCCATGAAAGCCTTCTGGGTGACTTTGGGACAGTCACTCACTCTCAGTTAAACTTACCTCACTGGACTGTTGTGGGTTAAACAGAAAGAAATATTATGTATCTTCACTGCCTTGAGTTATTTATAAAAAATATTTTTCATACAGAACTAAATTAGCATCCTGAATATTTTAGGGCAGAAACTGCAGAGTCTTACTCCTTTTTTCTAACAATTTTTCTATGAAGTAGCAAAGAGCTGAACCTTTTCATAGATAATGGAGAAACTTGGAACAGTCTGTTTACCAAACCATCTCCTGAACATTTGTCAGCTTGTAAACCAACCATCACGATTATTTTTACATAATTCTATTATTTTCTAGAGCTGAAATCTGAATTCAGCATATCGCATTGTGCTACGTATTGTTTCTGCAGATATAAGTCTGTTTGATATAATCATAGAGAGAGTGGCAGATGACAAAGGAGGAAAACTATTATTGTATGCAGACAGCAAGCCCAAGACCCATCTAGAACCTTCAGCCACATAATCACTTCCATTCAGCAGGTTCTCACCAGTTCTGGAGAACCAGTAGCGGAAATTTTGAGTAGTTCGGAGAACTGCAAATACCACCTCTGACTGGAGATTTTACAATATCTTTCCCCTGCTATGCCCACCAAGCCATGCCCACAGAACCAGTAGTAAAAAAATTTGAATCCCACCACTGCTTCCAGGTCATCCTCAACTCTTGCCATTGTATGCAGGCCTATAAAGCAAGGATAGCCAGATCCCTGGAATAAAAGATTCAGGGAAAAGATTTGGAAGAACCACTTTCTGGGGTTCTTGGTGTAACCAAGGTTAAATCAGCAGATGGAAGCAGCCTACAATAGTACTTGGATCATATATGTATGATAATCTTCAATTTAGTGATCTCTATAGGAGTTGGAGCTGAAACATTTGGTATTCCCAACTGTTAGGATGGGATTGGGAAGTTTGGGGCATGTCATTCTAAAGGGACCTATTTTATCATATTCGGTTCTAAAACAATGACAAAGGTAGTAAGGAGCTTTCTTACATTTTTTTATTTGGAGCTAGGCCAAAACAAAACTTAGTTAGCTGTATTAAAGAAAACATGGCAGAATTAACATAAGGTGCAAACAATATGTAATTATATCTAATTTCCAAGTCAAAGTAACTTTAGTATATATGTAGCCTTAGGTGTTAACAACAGTTCATCAAAGCAAATCCATTGTACAGAAATATTCTTCACTTTATTAAATGTTGTGCAACATTTCCAATTAATTTAAAAAAGGAATGTCATACATGTAAAAATCAGCTGTTTTCTCATTTTTTGAAGTCTGTATCATTATGTGAAATCTGAACTTTGCAGCTCAGTGTTAGTTTTGGTATTCTGTAAAATGACAAGGTTAAGTTTTTTGGACACAAAATTCTCCATAAAATTCCACTTTTGATCAGAAGTTTAGGAGCTCTGCCCATGCCAAATGTTATTCTTGCTTTAATAAATCACCTTGGCAGGAAAAGAGTAAAGAGAATGCTGGATTCAATAATGTCAGATTTGTTCTCTAACTGGAATGTCCTTTACAATCAGATTGTCATTGGTTATATCAAATATTGTACCTCAGAAATGATGCTAGAAGAGAATTGGAAAAATATGTGTTATTTTAATTATTTATTTGTGTTCTGTTGCCTGGACCCCTTTTACTGTTCTGTCCTTTAATTACTAGCTGAATATAAAGGCAGACAGATTAAACTCTACAAAGGCTTCCATACAAAGTTTCTTTATTGATTTATCAGGTATCCTCATATATAACTCACGGTTATGTCGAGATTCATCTCAGTGTTCAAATCTTTGCATAGCTGAATTCATAGTGTAAAAGGATAGTGCTCTTTTCATCCCCACAATGAAGGATCAAGGGGGTGAGGCAACAGCACGCTGCTGGGGTCCAGGCAAGAGTGAAGCAACCTCCCCCAACCCACCAAGGGTCAATTCAGTGACCAATCAGGATTACACATGTGACCACATGACATGGACTACATTTCCCAGGGTACCTTAACTACATTTACCATGAAGGGGACAGCTCCCAATTCCTAACTAACTATAAACTGCCTGGACAGCACAATTTGCTTTACTATTTCCCCTCTCTCATCATTAGAAGTTGTGGTATGGGAAGAATATACAGTATTTTGTCAAACTTGTTTATAGGATAGCTTTAAAGATTTGTTTTGTTTTGTTTTGTTTAAGGAACAGATGAATAAATTAATCTCATGAACTCTGCTGCTTTTTACTCCCAAGCATTAGTTCTAATTCCTTGTTATTCTTCTTTCCTTTGCCCAAAAGCCCATTAATGTTGTTTTGAGTTTTGCCATATGTATTTCTCATCACATGATCTAATTTCATTCTCAATGTTTACATTCTCATAATATTGAGCATATAAAAACTCCAAGAATATTTTTAGAAGATCTATGAATTAATACTAAAGACAAATCAAGTTGACATGCATTTGTCCAAATAGTCACCAGGAACTAAGCCTGTCACCATGACACAATGCTCTGTGAAATTTGGCAAACATAATACTCAACAGTGATCTGGCCTATGTTAAAATGTTCTTCTGTTTTAGCTAAAAAGAAAACAGACATTGAAGTGTGTGGTTCATAAGTCCCTATTGTAAATCCTATGGTATTTAGCATTTTCTTATGCTGTAATTCATGCACATTTCAATCTGTTCTGATTTAAAAGATTTAGAAGTTGTTTATACTTTTCCGACAGGAGGAAGACAACTATTTTTTCCAGTTTGGCTTCAAAACTGGGAACCGGGCAAAATAGGCTGTCCCATGGATAAAAACACAGGGGTAAGTGATATGCATTTTATCATCAAAAAAGTGTTCATTGCAACATATGTTATTAAATAATTAACCTAAAGTGAGTTATCTAAGTAACAAGCACACAAAAAATGTCATCAAGTTTGTATTTGTTTGTATATTTCTTAAGGACAATCTCTACCACTTGCAATTCATCTTACTTTAAAATGTGTTTAGCTTAAACAAATCCAGCACAACATATACAAGTGGGGGTGGGGTGGAGGTCAACTATTGTAAATGAAAATATCTGACAAGCCAATATCAGTGCAGCCAGACATTCCCCCACAAAAGTTGATTCATTACATTACATATCATTACATTTCAAAAAGAATTGTAGATAACACTTGTTGGAATGTTGTTCAATATTTAGGAAATGACTACACATCTGCAGTGGACTAAGTAGAGAATATTAAAAATTCAATTCCCTAAAAAGACATAATTGTTATTCGGTGGAGCATGGGGAAATGGATATCACCACGTGGAAACAGTGTCCTACATTCGTTTTCATATATATATATATTTATATACAAATTTTGTTGCAGAGGAAGCCTTTGTATGAATGCCCTATGTTTAATTTCTAAAAATAGATATGTTGCTGCTATATACTGAAAGTTTTTAATGTGTAATTTCGTCTCCCCAATCCTGAGTCTGGCTGTAAATAATCTTGGATCCAAGCTTAAAAAAAAACCTGTCTGCTTTCTGAACTGATAATTTCTCTATCTTAGAGAGCTAAGTCTGGCATAAAAAAACGGATATACACACAAAAACACAAACACAAGTTCCATTTTAGCTGGTAAAAATGTGTGTGGTGGTAGTGATAGAGATAGAGTGTATCTTTTCATTCTTAATATCAGGAGCGACTTAGCAACACATCTTTTAGTTCTCAAATTAAACCATCTAATACCTGAGAAGATAAATGCCTAAAATGAGGTGAGCAAAGAGGGAGAAAAGTGGGCTCCATCCTACCTGTGGAGTTGTCCTCATGATTTCACTTTTGAATTCTTTGCAAAACTTCTCTCTTTCTGCGGGTCCTTTACTCCACCTTCTCCTTAGGGGCTAGCAAAGTATATCATTTCAGAGCAGAGACCAAGCTTTCTGCTTCTTCTCTGGCTGGAGGCATGACAGAGGAGGAGATGGAGGAGGAGTGGCAGGGAAACTGGTCAAAATAACATCCCTGAAGGAAAAAGAAGCGGATAACTTTCCCACCCACTTCTTTGTATCATGCTTTCCTCCTGGAATGTGCAATTCAAACACACTTTTTACTCCTTGGAATGGAACGTGTATCTTTTCCCTCCAGTGACTGCACAGTAACTTCATTGCCTGCAATGGTTTTACAACTGCAGCCTCCGGCTGTCACTTTGCTGTTCAATCCCCCCCCCCCTCAGGGATATTATCTCTTCCTCACATGCATATGGAGACACACCCAATGCTAGAATCCAACTGTTTTAATCCCACTTGATATTCAATCCAAAATTTGCCCTCACAATTGTCCTGCTTCTGCCTTTTACCCATTTTGCCATAACTTTGCATGCCTCCTTTGATTGGAGATATTTTCTGCACACCGCCTGTTTCAACTTGCCGTGCTGGGCCCTCAGGCTTCTGTTAATACGAAGGTAGAAATAAATAATGCAAGCTTTGACTTCCACTGATCCTTCTCCTTTTTCTCCCCAATTCCTAAATGTATTTCAGTGACTAACATTAGCACAATATTTTCTTTCTGTTAATAGAATGTTCATAAACCTCTTTTGAAATATGCAGCCATCCAAATGTTAGACTTTATTATAATATTAGTCTGGTAAGCTCCTTCTCACTGGAAAGCACCCTTGGATAGAAATGTTGTGGCACAAAAAGTGAATGCCTAATTGTCCTTTTGTCAACTGCTTTCTTCAAGCTCCTTCTTGAGGGAGCATTGAAGATGTTACCTAGTCTGGTAATGAAATCTCCAAAAGCAAACCACCAAGGATTCTCTTCTTTCTTGTCATCTCATTTCTTAACCCATGATTACACAAAGAAATGTTAGAATGGAAGTTATTGTTCGTTGCTCCTAAATATCTCTCTCTGGAGAACATGGCAATGGAGAACATGCCATCAGACTCCCTTCACATATGGCTACAGTGTAACTTGCAAATTCAGCCTAATTAGGTCTGAAATTTTCTGCCCTCAGTAACTCTGCCCAATAATTCTGTATTTTGGGAGGAAATTTGGTTTTTTTTTTTAAAGAAAAAAATGTTTGTTTGCTTATGAGATTTAGAAGCCACTAGACTCCAGAACAACTCTGAGAACTTTATCCTATGAAAATAGAAATCAATAAAAAGGTTGTATGAGTTTGGGCAAATAACACTTCCTATATTCTCCATATAACATTATATAGGACACACCCCCAGACATTTTATCCTGAATTGCACATTGAGAGTAGCATTCTTACAATAATGAGATAAGGATTATTACGAAATACAGCTGGGTTTCCAGTTGGCTGAAAGAGGAGGAGGAAAAGTTGTTTCTTGAATATGCTGAGAAAAAAAGGTTTTTTATTTTCCTCCTTAGCATGGTATTTTTCTATGAAGTTTCTTCATATATTCCAATTATACAGACTTCCATCTGATGCAAGTAGAGATAAGTCCAGAAAAAAATAGGGTTTTCTGTTATTGAAGTAGCACGTATATCCTAAGATATAGGATACACCCATTGCTGAACCTCCAATAAGGGCTTTATACTAACTCAGTATTAGCTTCAAATCTCAACAAATGAATTAGGGGATAAAGACTATTTAATTCTGACTCTGCGTCATCAACCACAGGAAAAGTTTTTGTAAATGTTTCCACGTTGGTCTGACGCACTTGTTTCTGCTTCAGGTTTTACTCTGTTTTTTCTTTATGAACATTTTTCCTTACTCTTTTTTAAAAAAATAATTGTATTGGTTTTTAAAGACAAACAAAAACAAACAAAACATAAAAAACATCTTTCATAAATATACAAGCAGTGTGTCGGTTGGTTTACCAATTTTTTGTGCATCCATTTCGTAGTCTCAATTACAGTTACATTGCATGAAAACTCATATTATCAATCAAAAATTAAATACCCTAGTATCACTATTAAACAATCATTTGACTATAATTTTATTCATTCATACTTTGCAAGATAACTATAATTTACTTAGTTTATTTTATAACAATTCATATAATCCTACCAAATCTATCCTAAAAACATTTTATAGATATGATATCAAAAAAGAAAAATATATATATATATATTTATATATTCATTATTTTCTAAAATTCTAGATATTCTATTATTGTATTTTATCATATAACCATTGATAGAAAAGGTCCCAAATTTTATAAAATTGTTTATCCTTTTGTTCTCCAATTTCAAATGTCAATCTCTCATTTCAGCACATTCCAATACTTTCTTAATAATTTCCTCCTGCGATGGTATTTTCTCATTTTTCCAATTTTTAGCAAATACAATCCTAGCTGCTGTTAATACATTTACAATCAGGTATTTCAAATCTTTACTATATGTGTCAAGTAAAATTCCCAATAAAAAAATCTCTGGTTTCAAGTTTATGTGTTTCTTTGTCATTTTTTCCAGCCACATGCGAATTTTAGTCCAATATTTTCTAGGGTCCTCGCAAGTTCACCACATATGGTAATATGAACCAGGTTTCTGATGACATTTCCAACGTTTTTCAGATTTATTCTTGGACATTCTTGCTATTCTTGTCAGGGGAAAATGCCATCTGTAAAACATCTTATACAAATTTTCTTTATATGCTGTTGACATTGTCATTTTATAATTTTGAGACCACAATTTTTGCCATTTCTCTAAATCAATCCCATATCCAAAATTCTTCCCCCAAGCAATTATAGCTTCTTTAACTTGTTCTTCCTCTAGTTTAATTTCCAATAAATAACCATATAATTTTTTAATCACCTTTTCATCAGTACTGGTCAAAATCTTATCTAAATCAGTCAATTTATCATAAAATCCTTCTGTTTTAAAATCCTCATCATACCTTGAGTGTATTTGCACATATGAAAACCAATTCATCTTTATACCTTGTTCCTCTAAATTTTGCATCGATTTAAGTTCACCCTTTTCATCCAATATTTCCCCACATCTAACTGTTTGTTCCTTCTTGTATATTATAGGATAGGAAAATGCTTCAATAGTCGATAACCAAACTGGAATTTTCAAATAACATTGTCTTTTAATCTTCTCCCAATTTAACCACAAAGACTCCCGTATATGATGTCTTCTAAAACAGCCCTGTGTTTTAGTTCCCTTATACCATAAAAAAGCATGCCAGCCCAACAACAAATCATGTCCTTCTAGTGTCAACAATCTAGTCTTTCTTAATGTTATCCATTCCTTAACCCACATCAAATTTGTAGCTTGGTAATACAACTCCCAATTAGGCAAACCAAATCCTCCTCTAATTCTAGCATCTTGTAAAAGTTTTAACTTTATTCTCGCTTTCTTGCCTTGCCATACATACTTCAACACAATTTTATCTTCTTTTTTGTCCTTTCCATTTAATTGTCATTAGATTATGGTCTGCCCAAATACTTGTTTCAATGTTTGTTTCTTGAATGTTAGGTATTAGTTCTGTTGAGGTCCAAATCATATCTATTCTGGACCATAATGAATGTCTATTTGAGTAAAAAGTACATTGTTTAATTTTAGCATTTCTTTCTCTCCATATATCTTTTAAATTTAATTCATCTATCATTTTAAAAAAGGATTTAGGGAGAGTCTTTCTGTTTTGCTTTGTTGTTGTTGCTGTATAGTCCAGTTTATTGTCTATGATTCCATTGAAATCTCCCATCATAACTATATTAACATAGTCCAGTCCGATTATTTTCATGTGTAATTTTTTGTAAAATTCTTCTTGTTTATCATTCAGGGCATAAATTGCAATCAAGAGTGTTTTCATATTATTGTCCATTATTTCCACCATTACTACTCTTCCATCTTCATCAATTTTGCTGGGATAGTCTCTTTAATGTATAAAACCACTCCTCTTTTCTTACATTTAGTCAAAGAAGTGATTATTTTCCCTAATTTTGGCTGTACCAACAATTGTTCATATTGTTTTTTAATATGTACTTCTTGTAGACAAATTATATAAAATTTTAATTTCTCTAATTTATGAAAAATTTTCCTTCTTTTAACAGCTGAGTTAAGTCCATTTATATTCATTGTAATCAGTTTTTTCTCTTCCATAGTTATATTTTGTATTTAGGTTTGGCAGCTCTTGTAGATTTTGGTTCACGTTGTTCTTGGATCTCCACCTGTCCACCTACTGCGCCTTCTTCTTTTTCAATCCCCATTTGGTCCTCTTGAAATTCAATTAGTGAAATCTCTTTTTCTACCTCTTCCTCTCTCCTTCCAAAAAATTCTGCGTAGAATAATTCTGCTTTCTCGATTGGATTAATTCTGTGTCTCCATTCTTGCCATGTAAACATCAGTCCTTCTGGAATCAGCCATCTATAATTCACCTCTTTTTTCAATAACATTTTAGTCAGGAATCGATATTCTCTTCTCATCTCTCTCACTCTTCTAGGTATTTGTTTTAAGACCACAATCTCTTTGCCTTTGTATTTCAATGTTTTCTCTCTTGCCACTTGTAATATTTGTGTTTTAATGGCTTTTTTTTGTAAATCTGATATGAACTTCTCTTAGTAGATTATTTCTCATCGCATATCTTGTAAAAACTTGGTATACCTCGTCTACTCCATCCATCATCTTTTCCTCTGTTATTTCCAAGGCTTCAGCCAATATTTCTATCATTATCGCAGCTAGATTTTGTCCTTTTTCTTCCTCTATATTTTGAAATCTGAGATAGAATTCTGATCTGTCCATCTCCCACTTCAGCATCCCACTTTTATCTTGTTCAACCACTGTTAATCTACTGTCAATGCTTCCAATCTTCTCGTCTCTTTGTTTATCTTCTTCTTCAATTTTTTGGAATCGCTCATCATATTTCGCCATCATTTGTTGAATATTTTCAATTTTTTCATCAGTATTCCCTGTTCTCTGTTCTTTGTTCTTTGTTCAATATTCTCTATTCTCTTTTCAATGGTGTCTGATTTTATTTTGAGATCTTGGATTCCTTGCATAATCATCTGTAAGGTCACTTTTTCTAGTTCTTTATCTTGCTTTAACATTGTCTGAATTAAACGTTGTCCTCCAGATGGTGGGGAGGCGGAAGTAGAAGTTGAAGCGCCAGAAGGTATGAGTTTCCTACTCATTTTGAACGTCGAAATCTTCAAATTCAAGCAGCCAA